CCTTTGGAAAACATCATGATTAATTTGTTCTTGAATATGTAACGATCGGCTAACTGACCTGCTTCATCTTACCTATCATCCCTCACTGGTGCTCCGACTATAACTATATTGATAGCGTAAGCGGGGTTAGTATTCTATTATCATACATAAAAAAATATTTTCACATCCTCCTAATCCCGAAGATTCTATTTGTTCATTTTTTTTAATAAAAACTTGATGAGCGTTCGTAGAAGGAAACATCTCTGAAAGCGCGCTATATGCGATCGTCTATCACCAGGAGCGAGGGGGGGGGGGGTAGGGAAGAGAAATAAACAGATGATAAAAAACATCACGTGATTAATGGACGACCCCTAAGATGTGGGGGTGAATTCCCTGTCAATGGCGAGCTGTACGATGCTCCATATTTATTTTTGTGAAGGAGTTACAAGAGTGCTCCTCTTTCTCTTCATCCACTTTTTTTACGCATAAATTCGATAATAAATAAGTATACTCCAAACGTGTACAATAAAGATCAAGAACATGTTAAATTATTTGATTAAATCGACCAGATAGTATTTAGTAAGTATCTGTCTAAATATTTAGTCTTGGAAATAAACTGAACAGAACACTGGCGGTGCGAAATTATAAAAATAAACGTAGAGTTTTCAAGGAAAACATTTCACTTGAATTTGTTAGTGTTGCTATAAAATACAAACTTCACCAGAATTAAAGTGACCAACTATTTTTTGTTCAAAAAGAGTACACTTTGCAAGTATTTCATAGATGAAAAAAAAAAGAAGAAAAAACGATAAAAACTTTATTTTCATTTAAAAACATATTTTTCTTCGGAGTGGATTTTTTTTGCCTCATTTAAGGCTGCTCGTCTAATAATACAGCCACATCCAAACAACTTTCATTTTGCATATTAAATTTGACTGTTAAGACGGCAGATAATGTTTTTACAGAAAGTTGCGACTTCTCACTGCTCCAATAATCATTCCCTAGTGAAAATACTCTTTCAACAGCTGCATTAGTGCATGGACAACATAAGGAAATTTCTATTAAAACTTTTAAATTTTCATGTTGGATATGTTCTACTGAAATTCTAATGAAATTCAAATCACTTTAAAAAATTATTTTAAATATTAAATTAATAAAATTGAAATACAACTGAATTTAAAAATACAAATAGAAGTAAAATTTTGAAGTAAAATAAAGAGTACGTTTTGCGAAAAAAGAGTACAAAACTCAGTAAATGAGTACAGTTGGTCACATTACCAGAATATATTTGACATGATATAATTGTGTTTGCTGTGTAAGGAAATATTAATTGTCTCATAAGTAATATTTAAATTCTTTCTAGTAGGTAATTACACAGAGTGTGGAAGAAGTAAAGGTGAAGAGAACCAGCACCTTTGATTGTCGTCTGAAGAATCACTAACTTTCTTTTAAATTTAAATACTTTTATATGAAATTTAAATTATCTATTTAGTTTCTCTATGACAGGTACAGAAAAAAAAACATTATTTTTATCTATTTTTATGGCAACATAAAATTATAACCAATATAAAATGTACATAAGAATTTAATACTAGTTTCAATGATTATAACTATATTGTACCAATATTAATGTTGACGCTTAAAATAAAACAAGTGTCTGCCAAGTAAAATAATGTTAGGACTCCGCGACAGTTAATTGGTATTCGCAAAAGCGTCTTACAATGAACTACGAATATGTTATAATCAAATACAAAGTTTTTTTTTAGATTTTTAGTGCTTCATACGAGTAATTGTAATTGTGACACATTAAGTATACAAATACTTAGTAATATAGGTTATTTAATATAGGTACAGTCATTTGTCATAAATTATAGTCATATCAGATATGAAATGTGGCGATCATTGATGATTTCGATCCTTTTACAGCCCTGACTTGGTCAATGATCCAAAATAGCAGCTCGATTATTTACCTATAAAATAGAAAAAAGGGTCAAATGTGAGTGGAACTTGCTCACCAAGGGTGCCGTATAATAATTTATGAATAAATTTTCTTTTCTTTAGATAAAAATTTAATTGAAATACATATGAGTATATGAGATTATTATTTAAATACCTATGTAGATAATACATAAGATAAACTTATTTTATTATATTTTTATATTAAATATATATCTAGTAATTATTATTGTTATTTGAACTATAAATTCTTTATTTTAATCATAATATTGAGTAAAAACTCGACCTATGCGGTCGAGACTAAGTTTTAGGCGTTTTTTTTTTATAAATGCAATACATCTGTGATATTTAGAAATATCTATTTTTCCTGTCATATATGTGATATATCTTTGTAAATTGTAATTATTATAGATTTTCGATCCACAGATTTCGGAGGAAAAGGGAATAATATTTTTTAATACATTTTTACCATAAGTCGGAAACTACGCAATATAAGTATAAAAAAAAACAGTTACTTTTAAAATATACAAATGAAACCCTTTCATTGGAGACCCCACTCGAACTTGGACCCGCTAACAAAGAAAACGAAAATGATTTTTAATTGTTTTCATTGCTATATGTTTGGGACAATAATATCAAAAACTGTTCTAATTTTCAAATCAATAGTATCAGCTCAGTATAAATAATAGTGCCGTGTGGTCCCACCATAGAATAGGCTAGTCCTTTCCCGTGGGTGTCGTAAGAGACAACTAAGGAAACTTAATGGTCGAGGGATGGGCAATAGCAATCCTCTGTAAACATCACCAAAGCCCAACTGCGGTTACCAACCCACCAGCCAAGCATGGCACTAGCAAAGTCCCCCAATAGGGCGCGTCTATATTCAGTGGGCAGTTAATGGCTGATATGGTAAACAAATAAGTTACAAGTAATATAGTTTTATGTATTTAATAGTCATAGTTATGTGCAGAAGATTAATAATAATAATAATTTATTTATTTGCTAGAAATGTGGTAATAATAATGGTCTTAAATATAATAGATCTACACATTTCGCCTTATCTAAAGGCATGCAAATTTAGTATTATAATTTAGTGGCTTACATATATTAATAGCCTAGTAGGAGTCAATCCATAAATATTGGCAGCCGCACACATACTAATGGTAGCATAACTAAACAAATACAAATACATAACAAGTCAATAATATAACAAATAGTTTGTGGAAGTAACATATATTGTAAGGTTAAAATTAAAAGATAAAAACGATACAAAATATTAATAAATTTGTAAGAACGAGGTAAATAGAGCATAATGATTTATAAGTATCGATTCATATTCATAGTACTCTTGCTAGAGTTTCCGATGGGAGACGACTAAACATAGTTCAATTTAACTCATCTAATACAACTTTGCATGTTAACCACTAAAAAATGATCAATAAAGAAGTAGACATGTAGGTACTATTTACCTGCAAAAATTTTTCATCCCGTTAAGTTCCGATAGTGTATTTAAAATATGTATAAACAACATGAAAGTTAAAAATTTACTACTGTATAGGATTCTTAAAAATAGATGTATTAAGGTTTCTTCGAGGTCGGTCACAGGCATGCACAATACTCCTAAATTTGCAGGTGTATATAACGTAGTAATTACTTGCTCTATGCAGATGTCTATAGTCTACATTGACCGTTTACTATCAGACGGTGTTATGCTTACTTGCTATCTCCGTGGTATAAAAAAAATAATGAAGTGTATTTATTTTTTAGCCATGTGGTCCTGGAATAGACATGGGCAGCAGCGTCCCTCTTAAAATATCTCTAAAGTCTAACTGCGGTTGTTAATCCGCCTGCCAAGCGCGGCAACTACTGATAAAACCACCCAAGGGAGAAGCTTGGGTTCAGCAGTGGATAGTTAGAGGCTGATATAATGATGATTACTTTTTTTTCACTTTTCACAGATTACTTTTACACCTATCCCCCGATTTACACGGTACTTGTTTTACACGTTTTCGCTTTTACACGGTTTTCCAAATAAGTTTTTTTTTTTGTTTTTATCGCACTCTACTAAATGCTACTGTGTTTGAACACGTGCGCTGTGTACACATCTCACGGGGAATCCCGAGCTTATGTGCTGACTTGCTGCACATGCACACTGTGTCTGTATTTCTTCGCATAAAATTAAAGTTTTATCTACGGAAAATTGTATTTGAGTGAAAGTTTCACAGTGTCAGAAATATTTAATTTTTCATATTCGTAAATTACAAGTGGGTGCATAATTAAGATTTTTATAAATTAACATAAATAAAAAAAAAAATATAGGCTTATAATGTCGAAAGAAGTTAAAAGAAAAGTTATTTCTTTAGAAACTAAAATCGAAATTTTGGATCGCTTACGAAAGGGAGATAGAGTAGTAGATGTTGCAAAATCATATAACATAAATGAAGCTACAATAAGAACTATTACAATAAAAATATTGAAAAAAATCACCTACAATAAAAATATTGAAAAAAATCATAGCAAAATTATGCATTTTCTGCAAGCTTTCCGATTTACACGGTTTTGACTTGAAAATTTTTAATTTTCGATTTACACGTTTTTCTCAGGAACGTATCTACCGTGTAAATCGGGGGATAGGTTTATTTATATCTAAGAATATATTTGAAATATGTATTCGTTATCAACATCATCGAAAGTTGTCGGCGTTATAATTAATAGATGTAATTATAATTATATTAATACTATAATTAATATATTAATATTAGTTTTATTTGCAACGCCAAAAATATGACGCAGATTATTTTTTAAAAAAAGCTATACTTAATCTATGTACTTAGGAAGTACCTTCTGTAATTCCTTGTTCTCAGGTACCTGACTACCTATAGATGGAGGAAAAGGAATTGTTGTTAATGGGGATTAGCAACCCCATTGCTAGCAATAAACCCTATTAGGTCAACTTCCTCGCGGTTTTCCTAGGAAACCATCGTAGTTAATTCTACAATCACGATGAGCTAGGCAGTTCTATCAATAATTACCCCACATTAAAAAATATGACATTTGACACTGTCAATTGTCACTGTGATATGTTTGTTTTTATATTACATAGATAGCAACCTGTCTACTATCTTTTATTGTTTCGCTGTTTTATTTCAATTTATAATTACTTTCCTACTATTAAATGTCTATTAGAATAATGGACAAATGCAGACTCTGCATGAATAACCGAAAAAAATTATATTCAATATTTGATACTGATAATGGAATCTCTTATGCTGAAATGACAACTTCTATCGCTAATGTGAAGGTAATTCCTACTTTATTTTTAACATTAACAAATTTTAACGTTTTCGAACATATTTGTAACACAGAATTCCATTTCTTATTATAGATCATGAAAGAAGACGGAATTACAGAAAAAATATGCATCTTATGTCGTAGAAAAGTAAAAGAAATGTTTGACTTTAAAAATATGATTGAATCGTAAGTATTTGAATAATCATATATATATATGTATATATATTTTATTGTGCTTTATATTGGTAAATTTTATTTTCTAGATCTGATTTAACTTTACATGCCTGTGATAATTTAAAGAGAATAAACTTTTGTAACTTAAATGAAATTAAAGTCAAATTCGAGTTTACTGGTGGAAATTATATTGAAAGAAATAAATGTTTTTCAAAATTTGAAAAAATTATCACTGGGTGCTTTGAAAACGGAGAAAATGCAGTTTGTTATAAAGATGTTGTTATAAAAAAAATTGTAGCAAATGATGATTGTAGAAATGATGGGGATTTTATTAATAAAGAAGATAAACCCCTGGATGTTTTTGATTTTCTTAATACACTTAAAGATGAGCCAACTTATGACTATGACAATGTAAGTACAAATACAGTCTTTTTTATAAAATACTTGAAGTTTCCCTTGCCTTTGATTATGTAAATCAGTACATAAAGTATCATATCTTCTAAATAAGGATATAAACTGTCATGTTTTAAAATTTTATTCAAGTCAATTTATTACTTTTTGAATAAAAAAGAAAGAAATATCCATCTATCCTTGCAAATTATCATATTTTAATAATAGTAGGAAGTAGGACCATTACTAGCAGTATACCCTGTCCGGTCATCCTCTACATCCTAAAAATTATCATAATTTTTATCATCATAATGATGAATCAATCATAGTGGATTGATTGACCTGATTTCATGCTCACCTATCATCCCTCGCTGGTGCTCTGCCAGCAAATACCAATAGAACATATAGGTATCATCTGATTAATATCCTATAAATAAGGAAACCTATGAAAACTTCAGATAGTAAAAAGCCTTTTGAAAATACCATTTGCAAAGCTTAGAGCTAAAAATGTACACTAAAGCTGAAATATTGTTGTTTGGCCAGATACTGGATATTTAGAAAGCTGTGAAATTGAATAGCCAAATATTTGGGGAAATGGTTATGAAAATGAATAGTGAAAATTTGTTCACTCTGAACTTACCTATACATATTTCCTCGCATATCTAGGAATAGAGTAAAAATGAGTATGCCTTATGTGCTTTTTGGAAAATACAAAATTTTTGCTCCTTTTAGTAAAAACACTCATAATTATGAGCTATTATATATTATTTTATTATTTACTTTACAAAGATTCAATGGAGTAAGAATAATATTTTACTACTTCTTTTCACCTCAAGATACAACAGGAGACTAAAGGAAAAGACAAATTACAGTAAATAAGTAAGCTTAAACCCATGTAGGAAGCTGCTTGTCCAACGGGGGGGGGGGGGGGGGGGGATGTTAGTAGTGTGGTTTAGAGACTACATTGCTAGCAATATATGGTTGACTTATGAATAATATCACATCAACCTCCTCGCCTCTTCCCCTTGGAGATTATTATGATTAATTCCAGATGAATTTGTCATGATAGGCTAACTAACCTGATTTCATCTTCACCTATCGTCCCTCACTGGTGGTATCCATTTTCATCTCATTACAAACAGCCACTTGATGTCAAACATCCCTTATTATTCTAGTAATGAAATTTTAATGGTTCTTATGAATTTATCAAATAATATTAATTTTCCAGAATTGTCTTGTGGATGATTACAACCAAGAAACTTATGATAATGATGAAATATTTGTTCCTTTTATAAAAGGTTTAAAAAAGAAAAAACGTAAGAAACATAAGAAAGTCAAAGGTATGTTTGATGTTATTAAAACAGTATTTTTATATTTTTTTATGGTATTTTGCATAATAGGTTTTATTGTTCTAGATTTAGAAACTAATTTTAATAACAAGGATCACTTCATCAAAGTTCGCATTAAGCCAGTATTTTTAGAAGATATAAGATTAATTAGAACAAAAAAGAATAAAGAAAATGTAAAAAAGAAATACAAAAATAATAAAATACACATGTGCAATTACTGTGGAAAAATGACAAAATCTATTAAATCGCATTTATTGGTACATACTGGTAAGTTTTGACTTGACTATAGGTTTTACTCACTAATGATTCTCGCGGCCTTATCTGCATATATAATGATTTTATCATTATTTATTTATGTAAATAAATAATGATAAAAAATATGTTTAATACTGTATATGGTCTATCTTTGCGCCAAATTTCATTCAAAACCTTTCAGCTGTTGAAGCATGATCAAGTTTGTAAAATTTTGTAAAGACACAAACTTTCACATTTATAATATTAATCGCAAATAGAATACAAATATCAATACAAGACAAGCTTCTCATTTTATCAAGCTTATATAGTTTGCTTTTTTACAAACAAACAAATTTGTTAACTGAATTTGGTAAATTTTAATACTTAAATGCAATTTTTTTACTAGTTCTTTTCCTAATCTTAATATTATAAATGTGAAAGTGTAATTTGGTATACATATATTACAAGGTGACTTAAAAGAAAGTTCACATTTAAAAAATCGATAAAAAGTTAGACAAGGAGTTTATTAAAAAAAATGTTTATTACATATTAAAATACATTTTTTGGGAATTTATTTCTTGAAAATGATATTGTACAAGTGTAAACCGTTGCGTTCACTGCATTCATTTAATCGAGCTCTAAAATTTTCTATGATGGCTCGGCATGTATTGTCCGTGATGGCTACCATTTTGTGACGGATATTTCCTTTTAACTGTGCCAAGGAAGTCGGTTTGTTGGCATAAACTTTAGATTTGACGTAACCCCACAGGAAAAAGTCCATAGGGGTTAAATTGGAACTTTGTGAAGGCCAATTTATGTCACCTCCCCTGGATATCAATTTGCAGGGAAAAATTTACGAAGCCTAGCATCCTGAGGCTTTAATTCTTGCACTAATTGAATTTTGTAGGGGTGCAGTTTTAAATCTTTAAATCGATGCACGTTTAAAGCATCAGCACCCTTCCGAATCGGAAAGTCTGGGTTGTCACGAACAGATTGAGAAACACTGTCTGTTTTCGACCGTTCTCGAAGACCTTGGATGTCCGGATTTTGATTTTTCCAGCGTTGAACCGGTCTCTTCAAACTTTTTGACACATTTATCAATGAGTTTAAGGCTTGCGCGTCATTTAAATGTCGAATATGTTAAATATTGCAAATTTTTCTACGCGCTATTGTCGCTGAATTACCGTTTTTGTAAAACTCGCGTACACACAACGCACGGTCCGCTCCCGAGAAACGCTCCATAACGACTAAATTCCCAGAAGCTAGGCTACCGAATGACATACCCCCCGCGCCCCTCAGATAGTTGCGTTCACGCAATAACCAAAACAAATGTCACCTTTCTTTTGAGACACCCTAAAGTACGAGTAAAGTAGTAGTGGTAAAATATAAAAAATACGTACTTAAAATTAAGCTTATTTAAAACAAAAGTATTTCTTCTCTTTCTGTTGCTTATTAATTTTTTTTCTTAGGCGAAAGAGTACATAAATGCAATATGTGTACAAGAGCTTTCTTCACTCTTCATAATTTGCAACATCACATGAAAAGACATCTAACAGAAAATATGTACAAATGTGAGCAATGTTTGGCAAAATTCAATAACAAAGAATCTCTAAAGAGGTTTGTAACTTCCTTTAACTTTTTTATTAAGTTGTTTATTTATAAAATAGGAATTTAACACAACTATGATAATAGTATAAAATAGTTATGTAATTGACTATAACATCACACAAAGAGTTAAAAGTACTTCATAAGTCCCTTTTTATATTTTTCAATTTATTAAATGGTAATGATTATTGTCTATTCGACTTTAAAGTAATATTCATTACTTTCTTAATTTTATTTATGAAATTCATAATTTAAATATATAAAATTTTCAGGCACAATGTGGTTCATGAAAATGAGAAAAGATTTTTATGTAACATCTGTAATAAAGGATTTAAAAGGGTTTGTATCATAGTTTGTATTATTAGCCTTACTAATATTATAAATGAAAAAGTGAGTTTGTTTGTTACCCTATAATGCCTTTACGGCTAAACCAATCACTATGAAATTTGGTACAAACATACTATATGAGATAGGGAAGGATATAGGCTTTTCTTTATCTCTTTCAGTACACATATTTCAGTCACGCGATCCAAGGTGCGTGTAAAAGGTGTGTCTAAGGGAGACTTTGTACAAAAGTAGATTGCTTGGGTACCTCTGTCCCATTAGTGTTTCTACCGAGAAGCAGTTGTGTTTGCATAGCTGTGTTTCGGTTTGAAGGGTGGGATATGCCGTGAATTTACAGGGTACAGAAGAATAACATCTGAGTCCTCAGGAATGGCAACGCATGGGGGGTATCATGGGCGAAACAGTATACTCTGTTATGTCCATGGTACTGCTCATGTCTCTAGGCGACGGTTACCACTTTCCATTAGGTGGGCTGTCAGCTTGTTTGCCATTCTAAGTTGTATTAAAAAATTAATATGATTAGTATAATAATTTCATAATCATTATTTTATTCAAAATAACAATAAGTACCTTAAATGTACATACATACAACGTACATACAGTACATTAAATGCGAAACTGTAGACAGTTGAGTTGATGTGCATTTCTTTATTGAGATCGCAGTTGTGTACTATAGTATCTATTAATAAACATTTTGTTTTTTAAACATCTTTTGCCTTACAGAAATATTCCCTAGGAAGACACATCCAAGGACATAATTCTGCAAATAAAAGTGTTCAGTGTGAGCTGTGTAATATGTCATTTTTTTCCAAATATAGTTTGAATAATCATATGCGTGTACATACTAGAGAAAGACCATATAAATGCGAGGTGAATAATATTTATTAGCTTTTGTCCACAACTTCGAGCGTGAAGATTTTGAAAGAAGTAGGAACACCAATGAAATAGGCCAATTCTAGATAACGTATCAAGATAAAATATACACCAAGATTCTAAGTTTCATATATATGTTTAATATACTCGTTAGGTACTTGGAACATGAATCGTTGACAGGTTTTTTAATTTCTAACAGTATCCACTTTCAATTTATTACGATGTTATTGTTAGTTTCGTTTAACGTATACAGTTTCTTTAAATTTTTATGTTTTTTTATGCAACTTAGAATGGCAAACAAGCTGACGGCCCACCTGATGCAAAGCAATAACCTTCATCTATAGACATGAACAGTACCATGGACATAATAGAGTATACCGTTTCGCCCATGATGCCCTCAATGCTTTGTCATTCCTGAGGAGTAAGGTGTTATGCGTCTGTACCTTGTAACTTCACTGCCATATCTTACCCTTCAAACCGAAACACAGCAATGCAACTGCTTCACGATAGAACCACAAATGGGATATAGGTACCCAAGCAAACAACTTTTGTACAAAGTTCCCCTCTGATTATATTACATGTGGGTTGTAAGTAAATTTACCCGTAATATTAAAAAGATTATATAATCGTTACATTTGTTAATTATCTTGCTTATTCCCTATTTTTTAGATCACTGAGGTAGTAAACAAGCATACGGCTCAGTAAATACCCGCGTAATACTAGGAGTATTACGCGCGCGTTGCCGACCCTAAAGAAACCTCTTTATATTGTACAAGCGTCCCGTCCCGGCTTCGCACGGGTGGACAATTTTACAACATAAAAAAAATGGTTATTGTGACATAACGATAATAGTTGGACATATAGTATCGAGAAGTTTTTTGTAGTTATTCGTATTTTCTTTATTATTATAGAACATATTTTTGTTTTTTCACCAATAGTTTCCGCGGCGCACACGACGAAAGATATTTTATAGCATTTTTTTACATCTTGAGTTACGTTACTAAAGTTTTAGTGGGGATCCCTAATCTTTTCTAGTAATAAATATAGCCTATGTTACTAAGGGTGAATGTAGCTTTCTAATGGTGAAAGAATTTTTGAAATCGGCAAAGTAGTTTTTGAGTTTTTTCATTACAAACATACACACAAAAATAAAAATCTTTTGTCTTTATATTAGTGTAGATAACGCAAATAAAATATTCTCAGTATACTTAACAATCACTGATTTTTCCTAATCTAAGCAAACATTAGATAAATTTATTATATTATCAATAATATTTTTACAGATATGTTCACAACCCTATAGTTACAAGCACGACTTCAATCAACACTGTTTGAAAAAACATGGCGTATACTTTAAACGACGATCCGTGTACGTAATGAACGATGAAGTTTTAAGAAAAGAACGAGAACTAATGAAAGAGTTAATGCTTAGAGTACACGGAGTTGTTGATGACGAAGAGCCATTTAAAGCTTTTCAAGGCCCACAGGCGCATATGGCTTTGGAACAATTACTTAAACTTTTACAAGAAAAACAGATCCCTATAGATTTTCATTTTTGAATGTTTTGTAATTAATTATACATTCAGGGAATGATTGTTTATGAAAACAGGTAATTATTACACCATATTATTAAAAAAGATGAGGAGGCAGATGAAAAGTAATAGGTCAATCATCGCTGTATCAGTAATTTTCTGTTCTAATATTAGATATACAGAGTTAAATCTAAATCACCAGCATCCTTTAAATACCAAAGAATCAGGTCGAAAAGTGGCAAACTTTTAAGTCTCATACTAACGTCGCTTGTCCAGTTTAGTTAGTATGGGAGATACGAATTTTTTTTATTGTTTTTGAATATAAAAATCTCGTGTCACGGTGTTTGTAGTCGCACTCCTCCGAAACGGCTCTACCGATTTTTATGATTTTTTTATATATTTTATGTAGGTATGAGAATAGGTCGTAAAGTATATTTCATACTGCTTAGTGATTTGGGTGTCCCTATCTCCAATGTATATGTCAGGACAACGTGTAGGATCAGTTAGTATTCTATAGTGCGGTCAGAAAGCTTAGTTTTACATACAGCTAACGATTCAATTTCACCTGTATATAAGTACCAAATGCGGGCATGTCGAGTATATGTAGGTATTACGTTAACTGTTACAATCGACGTAACGTCTGTCATCCTTATCTGAAAATGCAGTCGAAAGCTCTTTTAATTGACTCGAAATAAATAGTCATAATATTAATTTGATATATTTATATATTATTAATCTGTGATTAATAATATTTAATGATAATATCTAATTTTAACACAAAACCTATTACTGTAACCGAACCCTCATATTTACTTAATAAGTAATAACTATAAACATTGACGCAACCTTATTACGCACATTACTATGTAAATAAAATCGTTGCACGTTGTATTGGTGTGTTACGTTATAGTTTTATTTATCTACAGATATATGTGCGAATTCAATGGAATTTAGAAAACCCACTAACCAGTAAGCTATAGCATCAATAGGAAAAGACCATCAGTCGTTTGAAGGTCAATCTTATTAACAATTATTAAATAAAAATGAAATTGTATTTTATACATGCATATAGATGAATATAGGAAGTCTAACTGTCAAAAATTGAATACGTTTCATTGACTTAAATGAGTACCCAAATAACCTAGGTACCTTAATGTATGTCGAAAGTATAGTATTATATTTTATGTGCTAAAAGCATTGAAATAACACAAATTAGTATGCAACACAGAGCTAAAGTTCTCAATTTTGTCGTAGGGAATGAATCAAAGTTAGTATAAGTTACTACTCATGTTTTCTAATAGTATTATACGATATGTATAATATTTATTTATATACGAGTACGAGTCAATAAAATTATATTACTACTATTTGTGCATACTTTTAACCATATGAGAGTTTTTATTGTAACACAGGCACCTATTTACATTATTAATATGTCATTTGATATAATACTTTATAAACCTTTATGTAATACTGAAATATTACCTAAATTCCTTTACTATGTACCTTAAATGCATTGCACCTTCAAAAGGGAGACCACCCTAATATAATAAGTACAGACTATTGTTTAAGATAATAATACCCATTGTTCCTTCCCGCTCATCACATGATACAAAGAGATTGGATTAGTTATTATAAGCATGACATACCTACTAGGGATTTTATTTCAAGCTAATGGACCTTTTCTTTGACCTATCAATCAATTTTGCCTATAAAAGGAAGGGTGAATGTTGACTATTTCATTAGTATACTTTCGAGATTCGTAGCAAGCAGTAATCGTCATGGTAAGTTCATTTATTAATTTATATAAATAGATAATTTAGTAAATTCTAAAAATATATGTGGATATAATATAAGTTAATTTTTTTTTTAAAATGAAATAACTATTCAAAAACAGTACAGTCACTTATTACTGAATTGTATGTGCATATAATTCAGGACCCGTATACTTACATACCAGTACCCAGAGCACAGCTCTAAAACAATAGACCATATATTTATATATCTACTTGTTCTAATTCTAACACAGTATTTGAGTATCTCAATTATGTAGGCATATGTCGCTTAATTTTTACGAGTTAAAATCATAATGACCATAAGGAGAATATAGAAGTCGTGTGCATAAGTACGGGTAAGAACCAGTGTTTCTGCCGTAAAGCAGCTCTGCTTGCGCGGCTGTATTTTGATTTTAAGGGTGGGATATAGCAGTGAAATTGCAGGGTACGGAGGCATAATAGTTTGCACGAATAGCATTGCATAAGAGGTAACATGGATGTCAGATAGTGTTCTGTAATATTTATCAAGTAGTTCATGTCCATAGATCACGATTAGTACTTTTCATCAGGTGGGCCGTCATCTTTTTTACGTATCATAAAAAAGTAATGTCTGCTTTTGTTAAATCGCATAATAAATGGTTATGATTTTTGCATTATACTTTCTATAATTTATTACAAATATAAATTTTACCAATTTTATTTCTCTTTATATTTTTTTTCCAGATAACGAGGTCCTTTTTAATTATTATAATATGCTATGCATTTTTAATTATCATGGAAACCTTAATACCAATAGTGATGGCAATGAAAAGACCTGGTATTGATGAGTTTATTACGCGCGACCAAAGAACACGCAAGAGACATAATTATATTGAGGATCCATCGCCAGATAATATTATATACGAAAATATCGATGATATAGGTCCATCATATGATAAAGCTTTCATGCCCGATGAAAAAACTGAAGAATTGCCTTCATTTATCGTAGACTACGCCAATTTAATAAGAAACGATATAATTTTATTGGATAAATCAGTTGAGACCAGAACTCGAAAGAGAGGAAATATAAAAGTAGAAAAACATGATGTAAGTCTACTTAGACATAATTATTATATGATTCCATTCCATCCATCCGTACTTATCCAGAAATACCACAATACTTCTATATTACATTGAACTCTGCGTGCATAAATTTTATTTTTTGCAAGCAATAATGCATTTTAATTTTATAAATGAAAATTATAAATCTAAAACATTTTAGATAAGAGTGGGTATATCAAAGAGTAAATAACGATGAACATATAAAGTATCCTATGTTAGGATATAATCTACTCGTGAACCAACTTTCATTCAAATCCGAATAGGCGATAAGCATGGTTGAATAACTAATATGCTTATACATAATATTTGTAGGATTGTAAACATGTTTGGAAACATCAATCACAGTTCAACGGTTAAATATATTTGAATGAAATTTTTGTATTTAAATAGAACATATCCTAAGTTATGCATAGGTTTATTAAAATTAATAATATAAAATGGATATATTACAATTAATGCCTATCTTTTTTTAATAACAACTGGCTAGATTTAATGTACAATAAAATAATTGTTTTATGTTCATTTTAAAGAGTTCTAATTTTTTTTTCTTTTTATCAGCAAGTAATACCGGAAACTCCGTGTAGCTGTGAACTTAAAGTAAGTATCTGTTATTTACATAACAACCTTGCTAATTCTTGTTATTTAAGGCCAGCATAATATGTATTCCTTTCCTCCCTATTGACTATAACATACTCTGTATTCACTTCTCTCTCTCTCTCACACACACACACACTCTGAAAAGTATATTTTACTATTTTTTCTGTGGTCTTGAACTTCTATATTTTCATAAATCATCAATTAGCATGTACATACCTATTCTAATTTGATTATCTAAAAAGAGCAGGGCTATATTAAACCGTGTTATCTATTAGCTTTATTAGAAAAATCAGAGCAATTGTTAGCAATGATTCTTACTGCTTGTATAGAAGTATATGTTAAATTTTCTCAAAAAATCGACATACTATAGAAAATAAAAAACTTATAAATTTCATAGACAAATATTTGTCTATACTAATAATAATAATATTTATTTCTTCAAAAATAGTTGCGTTACAGGGTTTGGTATCTACAGTAAAGCAAACATTACTTGTATTAGGAAAAACCGCTCTTTTATAACAAGAAATTACATTCCATAATCTTTACATTTTATCTAGCTTGTTACTAATCAACACTATACTGTTTTAAAAGAAAAATAAAGTAAAAATGGTTTCCAACTAAATTCGTGAGTACTTGATATTTGGTATCTCTGTTTCTAAATTATTTGAAATAACGAGCAATTTAATGACCGAAAGATGGCATTGAATTCGTATAATTCATATTTTAACATACTAGATCTATTTAAATATCGCCTTCCATCCCCTACCTTTAAAAAATTCATTATTATCGGATGAGCAGTGTTGGACATTAGCGTAAAAGCAAACAAGATTTTTATATATTGACCTTATAAAAATGTTTAAATATGAAATTAATTGGTAATTAATTACTTAATTTTTTCAGAATGATACCAAGGATTTGGGAGAAAACACTTATCCTCGATATGTGGAATATAGAAAGTGTAGTGATCACATGTGTCGCGATGATTATATTTGTGTTCCAAAAGAATATCATGTATGTAAATGTAATTTCATATACTTACTTGTAAACTTAATATTTTATAACTTTAACAATCGTTATAAGTGCCTAATATATTTACAGATAACTGTTCTAAAAAGGCGAACCTCTACAGAACAAATTTCTAGAATAGATCTTCCAAGTGAACTTAGGCACCAATGGATCGCTGAAAAAAGGCCCGTGGTTATTGGATGTATGTGCACAAGGGATTACATTATAGAAAAGTAATGTTTAAAAATGCTTTTCTTACATCTTGTCGTTTAATCACCAATACTTTCTCACGTATTTGATGTATATAATATTTATATTATATACATAATAATAATATAATTTTTATTTCAATATATTGTGAACTATCAATCCACTCCAACTTCGCATGGGTAGGATAGAAAAATAAAGTATTTTTAACTTACTACTAATTAGCATACATGTTTCGATTTAGCCTGTTTTTGTTTATTGACTAATTTCAAAAAAAAAATCGATATTGTAACGTAATAATAATAGATTCCTATATAGCCTCAGGAACTTTTTTGTGGGTAATAATGAATACTATAAACAAGTACATTATGTATCATCAATAGTTTTCACAACGCAAGCCAAATAATAACTATTACAGGTAAATTTTTGATACCTTGGGTTTCATTATAGTAACTTTCGTACGTATCTCTATTTTTTTTTTTATAATACATTATACCCTATGATACTCGCTCATAATGTAGTTTTTTATAAGTGAGAGAATTTTTAAAATCGTTTAAACAGTTTTGAATTTATATTATTATTATAGCTGTACCTCGCGGCTTTACCCACATTAGTTAATATATATAGTATCCTATTTATGTCAAATTAGGATAAGGCACATCTACCTGTGTACCAAATTTTATTATTGTTGTAAGATAAAAAAATTGTATGTATTTACCATACATAATTATATTTAATTTAGACCGATTTAATCGATTTTATATAATCAACTTTAAAAAACTATAAAAGTTAATATGGGAAATATTAATTTTTAATCCCATAATTTACACCCAGAAATTCGAATAAATCTTTGTTTTAGTTTGTGTAGGTTATGAAAGGAATCTACTATCTAAATTTGGTACTTCCAGCTAGTAGTTTCAGCTGTACATTGATGCATCAGTCAGGATTTTTTTTTTTTAATAATATAGTTTTGATATAGATTTAGCTTAATATAAACTATTTTATTTCACCTTATTATATTCTGAATTATGATTCGTCTCTTGTACAATTTTGTGCATATTAGGAAATATTGGTGGTTAGTCGTCAAATATTGTGGCTTAATAAAATACGTCAATAAGAATAAATCGATATAAGTGATAATAAAGATTTTTATTACAATCAAAGTGGTAAATTTTATTCACGATTCACCTTTACAAAAATAAAATAATCCATTTACTATTAATTGTCAATTTTCCCAATCTTTTCATCTTTTGGTATATAAACAAAAACACATCTATTATTTGGGGCAACCAAATATTACACCTGTTTATATATGCACATAGTGGTTTAGTTAATTAATATAGGCACGCTAAAAAGTAATAGGTAAATAAAATGTGAAGTATTATTTACTGTTTAATATAGAAACTAACTTACATTGTATGTAACAAATTTAAAAACAATAATGACCAGAAACAATACTTTTTAACTCAAAATACATAGAACGTAATTTCATGAAAGACAGTTTTAATTTTGATACATTTAAACAACATTTTGGCCATTTATAAATTAAACTGTATAATCAGTGCCGTGATGGGAGACAGTCTCGTGAGCGGCGGGCGTTGGAGCTTCGCTTAGTTGGGGCATGATGTGTGAAATAGCTTCACGAGTTTCGTTCACTAAACCCATTTCACGCCGTAACACTTCTTCAGTGACAGTGTGAATAGATTTAAATTTCAAATTTATACCATGAACTTTAAATACATGGTTATTCAAATTGACTTTATAACTGAAAGCTACGTTGCACACCTGGAAAATAAGAAAAACAAAAATAAAAAACTGCAGAAAAAAAATATAATGGCTTTTTTCTCACTTAATATATATATTATAAATAAGTAGTAAATGTACATATCCCAAGAATAAAAACGGAAATTCTTAATTGAAATTAGTTATTTAGAATTAAATCTACAATAATAAATTTCTTCACATGTCCAAAATTAAATATTGAATCCTAATCTAAAATTTGCTATCTGTGATTGCATTGTATTTGTCGTTGGGTAAGAGAGAACTTTTACCCAACGAAACCTTGGCTCAAATCAAAAAGTAATTAATAGTCCGATTGCTTTATGCTCTGCCTACGTATATAGTCAACGAATTCCTATTTATAGAAAAAGAGTAAAAAAAGGCTATAAATAAAAACTGTACAGGTAGATAAATAAAAATATTGAATACATCTTTGTAGTTAGTTGCTGATATATTGACATATTTTTTTTTTTAATCTGTTGAGTTTATACATTACAACAAAAAATTTAATATTTTCTTTTTCTTGTTATTATTCATTAATATATAAATATCGTTGCCGTGTGGTCCCAGCATAGAATGGTTCACCCCTTCCTCTTCCGTGGGTGTCGTAAAAAGCAACTAAGGAACTTAATGGTCAAGGGATGGGCAGCACCGTTCCTTTTTAAACATTACCAAAGCCCAACTGCGGCTGCTAACCCGCCTGCCAAGCTTGGCAATTACTATCTCCTGATTTATTACAGTCTCATACACCGGTTATGGTTCGTTATCTACCTGTTTTCCTTGCTTGTCGATCACTTTAATTATAGATGAATATCTAGGTGTAGAATCCTTCAGCTTTTGAAGTCATAGCAATAAAAAAATAAAAGTCACAGGAAACCGCGGCCTTATGACTTAAACTAAACTATGTTTTCGCCGACTCTCTCAGTTTTCATGCGACGAATAGGGCCATATGTGGCGAGTTTTTCGCACTAGTTCTATTATATCATCAAATTCAAACGTATACCTTGTATGTCACTGCTAATTAACCCCATATACCTAAATAACTATTCAAGTTTTCGGTAAACTACTTGAACAAGACTATAGACAGTTTAATTTGCATAGTACAAGCATTTATACGAAAAATTGCACAAATCACGTAGTAAAAAAAGAAATCGTGTTCAAGTTATTTATTGGTATTTATATTTTTGATATGTAATTCTCATTATGTACGAGGTCTGTCCGGAAAGTTCGTATAAAAGTGTTCTGGAATGCGAGAAAGAGGAGTGGGGAGGCCAGGTAAGCGCAGGACCCCTTCCTTATGTCCCTAACAATGCTTCAGTTCTGGTCTGACCGCCGTGCGGTGCGAACTGGCTTGTCACGCCATCTGTGAAGTTACCTCTTAACGAAACCCCGTCGGCATGGAGCCCGCTTCCGTTGAAGAGCAGCGCGTCGTAATCAAGTTTCTCTCGAAACTCGGCAAGAATGGCCGTGAAATTTTTGCCGATCTCAGAACAGTTTATGGGGATGATGCTGTGAAGGAACCAACCGTCCACAAGTGGCTAAAAAGATTCAGAGAGGGCCGAGAAAGCGTTCAAGATGACCCACGTTCAGGACGTCCTTCCACTTCACATTCCGACGAAAACGTGGAAAGAATTCGAACTTGTGTTAATGGGGACCGTCGTTTAACGGTCAGACAGGTGGCTGAAGAGCTTAATTTGGGCAAAACCGTGGTCCACGAAATTCTAAGAAACGAACTTCAAATGAAAAAAATTTGCGCCAAGATCGTTCCCAAGCTTTTGTCCCCGGATCAAAAATCACGAAGAGTTGCTTGCTGTGAGGACTGGTTGGAAGCCGAAGAGAATGGTGACTTTTTGAACCGAGTCATCACTGGAGATGAGTCTTGGTTCTACGAATTTGATGTCGAATTAAAATCCCAAAGCAAAGAGTGGAAGACGTCCGGGGAACCACGAACAAAAAAATCAAGAAAATCCCGCTCAAATGTCAAGACAATGTTGATTGTTTTTTTCGATGTTCGGGGGATTGTCCATCAAGAATTCGTCCCTCCAGGCCAGACAGTTGATGGAAAATTCTACGTCGATGTGCTCAGACGCCTCAAAGCTCGTGTGGCACGAGTTCGTCCAGAATTGGCGCGAGAGGGGCGTTGGATTCTTCACCACGACAATGCCCCTGCCCACACCTCTCTTGTTGTCCGTGAGTTTTTGAGTAAAAATTCCATTACGGTGACCGAACACCCCCCTATTCGCCGGATTTGGCCCCGTGTGACTTCTTCTTGTTCCCAAAAACCAAATTGGTACTTCGGGGGCGGCATTTGGGGGACATAAATGAGATAAAAAAAGCTACGACGGGGCAGCTGAGAAACCTACAACCAGAGGACTTTCAAGGAGCCTTCTCACAGTGGAAACGGCGTTGGCACAAGTGCATTATGTCACAGGGGGAGTACTTTGAAGGGGATAAAATTGATTTACCTGAATAATTGTAAAATAAAATTTTTAAAAAACTTTTATACGTACTTTCCGGACAAACCTCGTATGTAAAACAATAATAAGTAATCAGGTTCACTGACCTCGCAAGAAAAAGGCTTAGCACCAGTATGGATGAGCACATGATTTTGTAGGTGGTGACTTTGTCTAAATTCTCTAGCACAGTACCCACAACTGAATTTTTTTTCTCCTGTGTGTATCAACATATGGCGTCGCAACGGTGCAGCCTGTAATATATGGCAATCGTTAAAAGACTAACAACGCACCTGGCAAGTGTATGGCCGCTCTCCGGTGTGCATTCGCTCGTGGTTTTGCAATTGATGCTTGGCGTTGAATGACATCGTACAAGTGCCGCACTTGAACGGTTTGTAACCCGAGTGTATGCGCAGGTGTCGGTTCAAATCGCAACGCTGAAAGACATCAATTACAATTACTTTCATTATAGTCCTAATATAATGAAAATAGGGCAAAAGAAAAGTTTAATAATTAACAAATTAAAATACATTTACTGCAGGCACTATAAATACCGAGAAATAATGTGGTAAAAATAAGTATGTTATACTGTGGGGTTAAACCAACAGAAAAGGACAAAAATTCCAAACATTATTGTCAATGATTTCGAAAATATACGTAATATGTTGCATTGAAAATATTATTTCATTACTTTATATGGCACTGAGTACAATTCATCATCATCATATCAGCTGTTAAATGTCCACTGCTGACACGCTTGACAGGCGGGTAGGCAACTGCATTTAGGCTTTGGTGAGCTAGCTTTTAGTCGTATGCTCCCAACATAGCATACGTCAACCCTTCCTTTCCCGTGGGTGTCGTAAAAGGCGACTATAGGAACTTAATGATCGAGGGATAGACAGTAGCGTCCCTCTTAAATTGTACAATTAAACAACGAGAATTCAAATGATGGTCACTACTCTATAGCTCACTAAGCAGTAATGAACATTAGTTATACAGCTTTTATTTTCCTAATCAGGTTTTTTTGTGCTTATGAGAAACTGGGCAATTAATATCTGAAGACCCGGCCCAGGACTTTATTTATGCAAGGCAACATGAATTTACTGTGTACTACTACAACAGAAAGGTCATCAAATTAAAAATAACAAATAAATTATATCTAATATCAAATAATATCCAATAACCAGTTCCAGAATATTATCATTTCCGGCCCAGGACTTTATTTATGCAAGGCAACATGAATTTACTGTGTACTACTACAACAGAAATGTCATCAAATTAAAAATAACAAATAAATTATATCTAATATCAAATAATATCCAATAACCAGTTCCAGAATATTATCATTTGTAAACAATTTCCTGTAAATCAGTGTATAAATAAAGTTAATTAATATATACATTCCACTGTACTTACAGCTATAAATTTCTTAGTGCAGAGATTACATGGGAAAGGTCTCTCTCCTTTATGAATAAGATTATGTCTGCAAAGTAAAATAATATGCACAGATGAGTATATTATTCAAATTAAATCCCAAATATTAAATAACATTAGATATTGTAAATATTACCTAACCAAAGACTTCTGGGAATAGAAGCCAGCACCACAAACTTCACAGATATGATCTTTTATTCCTGTATGTTGTTTCATATGGACTAGCAAATTCCCTTTTTGAGCAAATGTTCTAGAGCACTGGGTACATGAATACCTCTTTTTCTCTGAAAAACAAAATCTCATTTAATATTTCAGTATCGGCATGTCTTTTCTCATTTATTTGGGGTCGCCATAGTATTTCTTGTTCTTTCACAGATCTCTATCAGCTGTCAATCTAAGCTCACACCCCTTTAATACATGTTTCTCCATAACTAGTTCTCATTATCTTTACCATGCACATGAGATGAAATAAAGCAGCAACATTAGTATTTTTATTAATTCTCATTTGCATATTAAAGAAAATGTATCTATTTAAGGATACATTTGATACTAGTTTACAAAGGGACTTCACAGCTATTCATCATGAAACAAAAACAACAAATATACAAACCTTTTATACCTCGCAATGCTTTTACTTGGTCTAGTTATATATTACTATATTGTAATAACAATAATGTATTAATTTTATTTATTTACCTTGATGTGTGGATATATGGTTGCCAAGTGTAAACGTAAGTATTCCACAAATAGGACAAACCATCTTTTCTCTTTGTTTCACTATGGGTTTTGCGGACCTCACCATCCTAATTGGTTTATCTCGACGCACAGTTTTACTTGTATCATCTGAAGTGGAATTCCTCACTTTATAATTTGCATGAACTTTTAATATAGTAGCATCTTTTGGTCTCTTCAAAAGTATGGGTGGGCCTCTTGAACCATTTTTCATGATTGGATCTGCAAAACATGACCAAATTAAAAGACCCAGTCTTTTATACTCACTATAGAGGATTATGATTGTTGGATGTTTATCTATGTTCTGATAAACATTGCTTTTTATAATAATATTATATTCTCCACCCTTTATAAATATAAGGCAATTCGCCAGTAAGTTTTAAAAATTCTAGGCACATAACTTGGTAAACTGCATAATATTTATAATTATATACAGTCTCATATTACAGTTTATAAATTAAAATTACAACTATATTTAGTTAATATACAACATTAAAAATATTCACATTATTTTAAATTAAAACTTACAACATGTTATCATTGTAGTTGACTTTGATTTAGAATCACTGCTAGTCTTGCTAGCTCTATTAGAAACATTTTCAAATTCATCTCTAAAACTTTTTAGTACTTTTACTTTTCTCACAATTGGCTTTTTACCTTTAAAAACTTTAATATCAGATAATTTTGGTTTTTTAAATTTATTTTTTTGCTTTTCAGTAGGAGGTATATAATCAGCATCATCGTCGTCATCCTGGAAGATATCATCATCAAGATATTCGGCCTGAAATAAATAATAAATTGAAATAAATAAATTTTATTTGAAAACTAATAAATTTAAGATTATGATAAATTTTATACTTTCTAGTAATTTTAACATTTAATCTAAAAAAATCTTCTTATTAACTGCTCCCTGGAGTCTCTTAAAGCAGTCTTACATACATCCACACAAAATTTTTCAAGCTAACTTGCAGGATCTACATATTTAGACTAATATTAAGAGAGATTTACTACATAGAGAGCTTAAAAATATATATATTTTATGTTATGGAAGCACTTTCAGTATGTGGCACGTCTAGTGATCTTAAATCAGTGTAGTTATATATCTGTGTTTAGGTCGCTATGGTAACTAGATGTTCATATATGGTTGTTGATTGTAACATAAAATATATTATTCTTTGCTAATTCTCTTTATTCTCTTTAATATGGTAGCAGAGCGTTCGCGACCTCGGTAAATAGATAGTTTGTAAAGAACAAAGGTTCGGAGAGAGTGTAAACATGTCTACAAATGTAAAACTCGACATTCGACCGTTCGACGGAACTAACTGGACCACTTGGAAATTTCAAGTGTTGATGCTGTTGAGAACACACGCCGGAGCCTTGGAAGCGGTTCAAGGGACACTCACAAAGCCAACACATCCAAGTACCACTGCCACACCGGGAGCTATATCGACTTATAAAGCAGAGTACGATACTTATGAGCGAATCAATAGCACTGCATTTCTACTACTCACCACCAATATGACAGAGAAAATGCTCGCCAAAGTTATGCGTTTTACTACAGCTAAAGAAGCTTGGGATGAACTGAACCGGCTTTATGAAAGAGTATCGCAAGATCGCTTTTATGATGTCTGCATGCAATTCTTTGGATACAAGCTTGATCCTACTCACGATATGGGGACACACTTGACTACAGCAAAGAATTTATGGCATGAAGTAAATCTGATCTTAATGAAACAAGGCAAAACCGAACTACCAGAGATGTTGTTGATATGTAAAATTATGGATTCACTTCCTGAGGACTACTTCAATTTCAAATCTAGTTGGGCCTTGATGTCAGTGAATGATCATACGATAGAGAACTTGACTACTCAGCTGTGCGCATATGAAAGGTCTTTAAAGAAAAATATAGATGAAGGTGAAAGTAGCAATGAACTTCTTATGGTACGAGGTGAGAAACGTAATGAGAAGCAAAGTAAGAAGAAAAAGTTCAAATGCAACTATTGTGGAGAAGGGTTTCACAAAGTCAGGTCATGTAAAAAGTGGATTGCGGATGGTAGACCTCCAAAACCTCAAAAGCAATCTACGAATGCAGTAATGTCGACAGGTCTAGCTCTAGCTTACAATGATAAAAATCTTCATAAAGAATCATGGTACGTAGATAACGGCGCGACAAGTCACGTAACTAATAGGAGAGATGTATTTCAGTCTTTCGAGTACTTTCATGATCCTCATACAATTACGACTGCTAACGGGGACGGAATTGAAGCCATTGGCAAAGGCTCTATCCAACTTGAAGCTGATGTAAATGGACAAAAACAGTTGATAACATTGACTAATGTATGGTATGTACCAAGTATACAACGAAACTTGTTCTCTGTACTAGCTGCGCAAGATGTGCTTAAAAATAGTCTTTTTCAATCAACTGCTCGATCATGTTGTATGAAGAATAATGGTAAAGTGATTTTAGTTGGAAATCGTGAGGAGCATGGTAGTTTATATAAATTAAATGTAAAACTATTAATGCCTAAAAATGAAGCAAACCAGTTATCGACGCTACAGAATCTTCAGCTGTATCATGAACGCTTAGGGCACCAAAATTGTCGTCATGTAACTAAATTAATACAAAAAGAGCTTGGAATAAGGCTAGATTCCAGTTCTGCTGACATTTGTGAAGGCTGTTTCTTCGGCAAGAGCCACAGAAAGAAGTTCGGAGAAAGACCTAAAGCTACCAAACCTGGAGAGCTAATTGTCACAGACGTATGTGGACCATTTTCTTATTCAATTTCAAAATTTAAATATTATGTTCTGTTTAAAGATCAATACTCGAAATATCGTTGGATCTACTTTTTGAGACACAAGTCAGAGGTACACGCTCGCTTGAAGGAATTTCTAGCTGAAGTTAATACTTCTGGACACGTCATTCAAGGGTTGTTGAGCGATAATGGAGGAGAATTTGATAACGAACAGGTACGTAATACTTTGAAAGAATTTGGAATAAAGCAAATGTTGACAATGCCATATACTCCTGAACAAAATGGTTCTGCTGAAAGAGAGAATCGTACAATTGTGGAGATGTCAAGAGCACTTATGCATGCTCATAATGAGATACCAAAAGCTTTATGGGCTGAAATATCTAAAGCTGCAGTCTATATACTCAATAGAACGGGGCCAACTCCAGTAGATGGAAAGTCACCGCATGAGCTATGGTATAATAAAAAGCCAAAAATAAATCATCTCAGAATTATAGGATGCAATTGCTATGTACATATCCCAAAACAGAAAAGATTGAGAAAGTTAGAGAGTAAAGCCGAGAAAGGAATACTTATTGGGTATGATGGAGATGAAGGATATCGCGTTTACGATGTGAAAAATCTGAAATTGATGAGATCACGTGATGTAGTATTTGATGAGAAATCTTTACTAGAAAAACGCAAGATTGACAAACCTCCAGAAAAACCTAATGTAGAGCCAGTAGGAAATAAAACATATGTACTACCAATACCTTGTGCAAATTGTGGAACTCATTTAAATTCACCTATAGAGACAAATGGTAGGGATGAAAATATTAAATCGTTTAAAGAAGATAATGAAAGGGATGAAAATGAAATAGAGGCAACGATGGGGCGACAACTTCGTGATCGTAACCGAATTAAACTCCCTGAGAGATTCAATTTTGAGGAAGTTATTAATGAGGCTATATCTGTTTCTGAGTCATCTTTATACCAAAAAGTCTTAAACAGTCCTGAAAAGGATAAGTGGATTGAGGCAATGAATAAAGAAATAAATTCATTGTATGAGAATGAGACATTAAAAATGACACATTTGCTAAAGAACAGAAAAGGATTACAATGCAAATGAGTATTTAAAATTAAAAATGAATCTTAATATGCCTACTCTACGCATTGACTCTACAATCAAATTAGTACATAATCCATCATATGAACTACACCATAAAGCAAAACACATAAAGCCGATACACTTCTGTGTAAGACACTGTGTATGTGAAAGAGAAGTCACTAGAACAAGTACCAACTGAAGAACATTTTGCCGATATTCTTACGAAGCCTGTTTACAAGCCAATGCTAATAAAGCTAGGTAATGAGTTTGGCTTGAAAAAGGAGAGGGAATGTTATGGAAGCACTTCCAGTATGTGGCACGTCTAGTGATCTTAAATCAGTGTAGTTATATATCTGTGTTTAGGTCGCTATGGTAACTAGATGTTCATATATGGTTGTTGATTGTAACATAAAATATATTATTCTTTGCTAATTCTCTTTATTCTCTTTAATATTTTAGATAACTATCATTGTGTCTTAGAACACAAGAAGTATTTACTCTGCAGTAATCCTGAATGTGCAACAAGTGTTTGACAAGATGTTATACCAGGACATTTTTTAACAGATGATAATAAAATGGTAGCCCAGCATGCACTATACTATATACAATCAAAACAGATCTACCATATAAGTTTTATTTACTTTTTAAATCATATTTAGAAACATTTTTTGAGCGAAAGTTATTGACATACACTCAAACTTTATGACATACAAACTGAAATACTGCAAGGCTACAAAGATTCATCTGGACAGAGTAATCTAGTAATCAGAGTAAATAGAAAAATAAAAATTTAAGCTTGAAGCTGGGAACGCTTCATTAGTTATTTCATTATTTAGATTACACATAATCTATATCTATAAAAAATAAAGTTATTTGCAAAATTTTTGAAACTATATGAACACACAAGATTTTAAAATAAAAGCCTGAAAATGATAGCAAATACTACATCCATGATTCATTAAAACTTCTGAACTACATTAATATTTACAGATCAACACCGTCTATGAGTAAATTGAGTACAAAGCAAAATGATACAAAGCATATACAAATGTACATATTAGTTACAGATCTAATGGATACTACAAGAGTAAAAAGGCTCAGAAACCATAATAAAAGAAGCAGATTCTTCACTGGAAGGATGAGACTTACTTGCCGATTTATAGTTTTATATCTAATATAGACATTTCCATTAGAAAATAAAAAATCACTCACATCAAGATCAACAACAGGATCAGAAGATACTTTTGTTGACCGCCATGTTAAATCTACTTGATCATCTATATTAGTTTTTGTTTCTTCAGTATTTGCATCCACTTTTCTAATCACTGTGTTTGCTATAACTATATCCTTCATATCTATAGTTTCTATAGGTTTAGTGGAATTGTCATTGTATTTCATATCAATTTCCATTTCCCACTTTGGCTCAGATTTGACTGCAAGTGGTCCAATTTCACTTTTGATGTCGGTAAAAGAATCAAAAGCTATTTTCTTTGTTGGTGCTTGTGAATTTATTCTTGCAAGTATCTTTCTAAGCTTCTTGTCTGATCTAGGAACATAATAAAAAAAAAAGAAAATAATAAAAAAAACATAAAAAAGAGACGTGTTTAAAGTACACACACGCAAATTTAGGGGAACGCAAAAAAGGTTGATGGTTTCCAATATTGTGGGGTATTTATACAAGTAGTTTTTGTTTAAGTATTTACCCTCACAATAAATTATTTTAAGTGCACCCTACTAATTTTTAAATGTTTTAACAAGAACAATCGTTGTTTACGAATTTTCTGATACTAACGTTACATTTATTTTGATAAGAACTTATTGGATACTGTGTATGGGAATTGTCCTCTGTTTAAATTTTAATAGTACACATTGTCCAAATTCAAAATGAGTGATTAAGAAGCACCTTCCATGGCTAGAGCTTTTTTTTTAATGGGTGATATTGATATGGTAACCCCCGCCTGCACTATCAGTATACATTGGCAAAGCACCAGTGGGATATGATAGATGAGGATGAAAACAGGTCAGTTAGCCCATCCTGATGAATTCAACTAGAATTAACCACGATGGTTTCCAGGGAGAACCATGTGGAGGTCGACCTGACAAGGTATATTGCTAGAAATAGGGTTACTAGACCCCATTACTAACAATCCTATTCCCGTGGCTAGAGATGTAACCATAATCAAGGATATCGATAACGATGATACATCGCATCGTCCGACTTTACGAGAAGACAGGATCGTACGGAAGCGAAGACAGAGCAGATATCCGGCAGCCAGTGCCTTTAATGACACTTTCATGGTCTTGGCATAGGCATGTCATGGTCAAACACCGAAATCGTTTAGAAGTCCGTCACATCAACGTAAGTGAAAGGAAAGTAAGAAGACGGTTGACTTAAGTCAGCTTAAAATCTTACGTGTCATCAAAGGTACCAAATCTTGAGGTTGTTCATCATATAGCGAGATTGATGTTCACTTGGTAGCATTGAAAATGGGCAAGTGAGTAATGTTTTGTTCAGTGACGAGACATTTTTGCGTAAACTTCGTAGACGGGAGGGAAAGAATGTGGAGACACTGAGGGGAACGATACCACTAAGCAAATGTCACTGAAACTGTCTCCTAAAATGGAGGATCAGTAATGGTATGGAGTAGCATATATTTGCGGGCATGTATGAAGCTAGTGATCATCACTGATGAATTACTCACTACAAAGAATATGTGACAGAAATCCTAGAATCCTATATCATGCCTATTGCCCCACTCATAAGAGAAAATTTCATTTTTATGCATAACAATGCATACTGCGAGCATAGTGAATGGCTACTTTAATGAGGTAGGTATTACACAAATACACCGGCCAGCATAATTCCTGGATATGAATTTAATAGAACATATCTAGGACTTCCTAAGAAAAAGGATTTGACAAAGAAATCCAGGCCCTAACAATGTTAAAGATTTGAAATTGGCATTAGTGGAAAACTGAGACAATTTACCCCAGGAAATTATTGACAGCATCATTCAAAGCATGTCATATCATATACAGGCTTTAATTAGAATTCACAGTCGCAATACACATTATTAATTTTTTTTAATGCGTCTATTCAAAAATAAAGTGTTAAGTTTTAAGAAAAAAAGTTTTTTTTTTGCAATTTTAGTTTAAGTTTAATTCTTCTAAAACTAATAATGTATAAGTTACTTAAGCATTTATTCTAGTTATTTTAAGTGTAACTCATTATCGTAATAAATAAAAAAAATTATAAGAATATTGTTTAAAAAATGACTGAATGAATGAATTTTTTGCATTCCTATAAATGTGTCAGTATACATATTCTAATAAAATTTGGTATTAATAACTAGTCTTAACTAGCTTTTCTTAAAGAGTTAAAAATTCAATTAAGAAGTTAGGTACATATAAATATATCAATAAACATTACAAGTTGACTCCATTTAGTAGTGTAAGAAATCACTCACTAGAACTCTGCTACTAAATGCCATAGTACATGAAACATGGCATAGTAAAGTTTAGACTACATATCCTTACTCTCTTATCCATCTTCCCTAATATTATAAATGTGAAGGTAAGTTTGTTTATTACCCCTTAGCTCTTTAATTAACAGCTTAACTAATTATTATGAAATTTGGTGTACAGATATTATATAAGACGGAGAAGAACACTTTGTATGGGAAAAAGTAGTAAAGAATAAATAAATAATAACTATTAAAACAAAACTATATATACCTTTCTGCAACAGTTTTAAGCATATATGCCTTTTCCAATGCTGAACAACATTTGTGACATATGCACTCAGGTAGTCCATCATTTGCTACAACCTGCAAAATTGCCCTTTTTAGTTATACACAATATTAACAATGTAATTTTTTTTTTTGTAAATTTAGTAAAGACTCTGTTAATAAATTGATATATAATTTTTAATGTTTTATCAATTTCTTGGTAATAAAACCAAATTATGATATAATCCTTCCTGATGAAACTGTAGACACTAATTATATGACATTATTAAAAACAGTTGCACAAACTAGATGTAATAAATTATTGTCATGTTAATTAAAAAAAACAATTGGTTCCTAAATTGACACATTAGAAATAAAATCTGCGACATCACTTAATTTACTAATAATGGCCATAAAAATAAATAGTTTGTACATAGATGAAATTTATGTTTAAAAAATCATTGCTTACTAATACTATACTTCTCGAAATAACTCACTGCTCAGAATATGGGTTAAGTATTAGAAATAGGCTGCATTTCAAACTATATGGACACAATTAGAGTGGCTAAACTTAAGATATTTTTATAATATGCTACATAAAATACAGATAAAATGCTTAGTTAACCATCAACTGTGTAATATTAATAATAAAGTAATCATTAATATAAGACGAGACAATTAATAAAATTATTTTGTTTTCAATATAGTACGCGACACGTTAAACAATATCAACATCGTATTTACAACTTTATACTTTAACAGGTATACATAATCACTCAATACAATCTTCATGTTCATATAAAATAACCAAATTATTTTAATGTCCCTTTAAAAAAAATGCGTGTTTATAAAACTTACCTTTACATCAGCGACTGCTGTTAACATTTCTGCATAATTTCCTGACAATTTATATTTGAAGAGAGGACATAAAGGTTTCTTAGTTGTCAAACATATACGACATGATTTCATATCAAAACTATCTTTTGGTTGTAGCATTTTAACAATTATTTAAGTGCTGTTTTAAATGGAAACCAAAACAATATCGAAGATTCAACGTTCGATTGAATATTGAATAAGTAAGCATAAATAAATCTCTTATACACGACACTACTGTATATAATACAAGAATATGCGATTTGGAAATTCGGAAATTGCAGTAGAACTTCACCTCACTATGCCGTCATTCATAGACAAAAAAGTGATTACAACGCGGCGTGGCTTGGCCTTGGCGTAAGTAGACAAGCGTGTTTGGTTTCGTTCGTGTACGAGAAATCGATTATGTATTCAGTTCGAGAAAGTAATTCGATTCAAACGTGTTGAGCATTGTTTAAATTCGTAGTATATATATATAATATGTTTTAATAAAACTTAATTCAAAAGAAAAAAGATTCTAATTTAAATTAGAAGCAAATTGAAACATTAAATCGATTATTCGATTTCTAATTCGAAATACGACTGCTTCTTGCCCCCGACTTATTAAAAATTAATTAAATTTGTTCTTATTTAAATTTATTCCTTAATGCTTACATTATAAAATATATCATATTCTAAACTCCATCAATTTAAACTTAGTAGTCTTAATTGTGCATTGATATAAGTTAGGATGAATGATTATATTTAGATTAGGCATAGACATTAGGGGTGATATTTAGTAATATCTGTATGATATAGTTACAATATCTATATATTGGTTGTTTGAGTACGTGGCTGTGTATTTGTAACTACATTTTTATTGATGAAGAGATTTATCTTAATTATAATTAGAGTTATACTACAAATAAAATACGTATTTGATAATACAACGTAATAGATTATCACTAATTAATCGATCATAATTTAAATAATTATGTCATAACGATTAAGTATTATCGATAGTACCTAAGTCAATTGATTTAGGTACTATTGATATGACCTAATTCCTAGTTTTATTGTAATCCAATCTACAGAACGGCACGATGCATCTAAGGATGTAAAATAAATAATATAAAAAATGCACCTCATTATCTATTTATTAACAAATATCTACGTATACCCAACTAATTATATTTCAAAGAGATACTATCTATCTTTTGTTGATTGATATCTAGTCATTTATAAGAATTTTTATAAATACGGATCTATTTTATATAATTGGAAGGAATATTTTATATAATAATTGTCTTAAAGTTTATTGAAGCTTGTGTAGTTTATTAACTACCGTAGACGGTTGACCGGCATGAATTAAGCACCCGTCTATTATGAAAAAAAAAAAACAGCAACATCTTTATTCTACAAGAGGAGTTTATTAAGGTCGAATATTTATTACTTAGAAACTTATTAAATAAAACTACTTAAATAAAATTTCAGTTTAGTTTTCTCGGAGAAATCTTTATGGACCAATATGAATAAAGAACTTACAAAAAGGTTTTTACAAAAAGCGTTTTAGAATCAATCCCGATGTATGTTATAGATATTTATAGTATACGCTAATATACTATAAGTATTTGTGATATGATGATAATAATTTATTATTAAATTATTATTACTTACTTTCGATCTAATTCTTTTTAATACTTTTGCAAACTAAAATTAAGACTCAGGGAAAAACAATAATTTTTTAGCTTCTATTTCCACTTCCGAGTTTTGTACAAGTTATTTGTTGTGGCATGTTATATTTAGGATTCGTACTATTCTGAAGTTTATATCTATTAGCTATAGGTGCTTATGTAAATAAGCACTTCTTTACATCCACAGATTAGGAATATACTTTCAGAACTTTCAAGCAAGTGGCAGCGGAATTTTTTATCTGTAGAACCATGCACGATCCTCAATGAACTGTCAAAAATATGTTGGTCGTAGGAAAACAGGGTTGAATTTACCATATTTTTGACCTCTGTCTTTAATTTATTTATTGTTTATTATAAGATACTGATGTAATTTTAAATTATTATACCCTAAAATCTTTATTACTAGATACATTGAACGTCTTGAATGTGAAAAAATGATACAATGGCCACCTATGAAAATTGGTTGAGTCGTAGGAAAGGTAATATTTCTAATATAGTCATTAAATAATATTTTTAAGACTGTTGCATATGCACTCATAAAATTAATTATTTATTACTTTGCTTTATCATTGTTTTAGATAAACCCAGTCGAAATTTATACAAATTGGACACAAATAAAAGTAATGAAGAAAATATTAAAGATATCATAAGAGGATTGTATGTAAAGAAACCATTCCACAATGATATATCACCGACAAAAAAGAACATGTCAGCGGAATTTAAGACCGGGTCAAGAAGTATGCAAAGGAGTAGTACTGAAAGTCATAGCTTATGTTTGTCCTACTTAAATGCTTTAGTCACACTTTTATGTAAGGAAGACAGGAGTAATTTGGGGTTTACAACAGATGAATTGATGACATGGTGAGTATAATAATGCTAGTTTGTCTTTCCTGTTTTGGTTACTTATATAATTTTTAGCAACTTAAAATATTAAATCATTTGGTTAATAAGTTTGGCATAAAATTACTTTTTTATATATTACATATATACATTTGTTGTGATATTTATCTCATTTTCATTTATAACTAGTTTTTATCTATAATTTAATGGTCTATGCCCTTTTTGATTACATATATTTATGTGTATAACAAATTATATATGATTGAGTTGTTAAAGTGCCATGAGGTACATAATATACAAACTTAATTTCTTTCACATTAAAAATTACATAAGGTATGTTTTTGCTTTCTGTTTATGATAAATGTTTATTTGTATAGACATTAACATAGCAGCAGTTTTGTATAGATAAGGTATGATGTTTTGATCAAGAATTGTAATTAGCAGTGTTAAGACACAACCTAGATATCTCGCAGTTGTAAATAGGTTAGGCTCTAAGGCACCATTTATTTAAACCTATTTATACTAATGTTTTATTTATACTTTATTGTACACAAAAAATGCACCTGTTGTTTTAATATGATTATTTCATGAAATTACTGTTTTATGGACCATCATAATATATTGAACTAAATTTATAAAAGTTATACTTAAATCTTTTTGAAATTAATTTCATATTGGTTTTTAGGATAAAGATTCAAATTGAAATTTTAGAAAAATTATTGAGTCTTCTATATTTATGATAACTCTATTGGGTAGGTAAAGAGAACTATGTTCCAAAGGTTTCAATAATAAAATTACAGTACTTCTATAGATATATTATGCCACCACTGTCCTTAAACTTTTCATTTTTATCTATTGGTGTGCTGGCAGAAAATATCATATATGTATAGCATTAAACTCTCCATTTGTACAAAGTTTATTGTGCAATAAACAATAAATAAATATATTACATGATAGAAATGGTTCAGATAACTGTGCCTGTTAACAGCGTCCTGATAATATCTAACTATATAATTATTATTATTAAATAACACATCTAAAGAGACAATATTATTAATGTATACTAAATGTAAGGACTTAAGTGGAAAGTGGACTTATGTGCATAAAAAAAAAGATATATATGTTCTACTATATTACCAATAACATGGAAAGATTGCTTTTAGTAATAAGACTACATTATTGTACTTATACAAGTGTAACTGTTATATCTGTTGTCTATGTTTTTTAAAGCTGTGCCAATAGTTTAAATCATTAAAATATTTGATGTACTTTAATTGCAGCATTCGTGTAAGCCTGGTAGATGAGTCGATGGTAATAAGGGCGACAGCTTTAAGAGTGTTACGGTATTTAATCAAAACAGAGAGTGATGTGGCGACATTTAATAATTTGAAGTTGTCTTACCTTGTTACAAGGTATGTAACTTTTTAATTGTTTTTCCATATATTTTAAAACTAGCTTTTTGCTTGATATTCTATACATATGGATCTCAAAGGTAAAAAAAAACTTAAAAATAAACTATTTCTAGAAGGCGTACCAAGATAAAAAAATACACCAGATTTTAAATTATACCTCCAGGAACAAAATTTTAAAAATACATTCAATTTGGTTCTCTAGTTTTTGGTTAATGCTAGAATGAACATATAAATAGACAAACAAAATTTCTAAAAAATATTATTTTGATATCTATTGTTAAGACACCTCATATATTTTCTTAAATATATGAGGTGTCTTAACATTCTATATACAGACATTGTCTAATTTTTTAAATTTTAATGTGATAATGGATAATAACACTGTCTGCATTATCGGTATATGTTGGTGGGGCACCAGTGAGGGATGATAGGTGAGAATGAAAAGGCAGGTCAGTTAACCCATCATAACAAATTAAACAAAAATATATCAAAACAGTTTCCAGGGAGAACTGTATGGACATTGGCCTAAAGGGTATATAGCAATGGAGCTATTAGATCCTCATTATTAACAAACCATTTCCCCTGACATTGTCTAGTTACATTTTTATTATAATATTAAGATAACTGAAGTAGAATATAAGATACTGCTTTTTACCATGATTACATTTATATGATCATGATAGTTTGATTGACTGGGATGAAAAGTTGCCTATGTTCTTATTTATCCTAAATACTATGTGTATGTTTTTTTTAAGACGATTGGGCCATTATGTTTCAAACAAACAAACTCATTTTATAGTATTATTAGTGTTACTGATACATAATACTTTATAAAAACCAGTGGGCTCAATTGTTTATGGATTATAAGTTTGCAGGGTAAACACTGATAGTGAAAAAGCAAGCTACTAATGAATTTCATTCCAAATAATTTTTATTTAAATAGACTAGTTACTATCATTTTTTATGAATCTACTGCAGGGTTGGGACGTATCTTATTTTCTGAGAAGAACACGCAATAAACTTAATATTATTTTATACCTTTTATAATCTCTGTTCACATTATATATATTTATTTATATGTCTAATATTACTCATTAAAAAGCCGGTACATAATCAACTAACATCATGCACATTTTTCAACCAATTAATCGTTTAGAGGGTAATAAATAGGCTTTATTCAATAAGTGTTTCTTAATAAAAGTTTTAAATTTATTAAAAGGTAGGTCCAAAATATTTAGTATCTTAAAATAATCTTTAATGCCCATTCCTATAAAAGATCTATGAACTTGTTCTAATCAATTCTTACTCAAAATTATTTTATGGCCTAAACTAATATCAATATGTCAAAAAAAATTACATTTCAATAATTTTGTGTAGTAGTTGATTGATGAAAGTAATACACAATAAACCTCATCCTGAAAAAGACTATCAGTGTGTAAAAGTGTTATGGTTTGATATACTTTGGAGCTAGTTATACAGAAAACAATCGATCTCTAATGGAAATTGCTGGTAATGTCTCTGTTTTCTGCATAACTAGTTCCAATTAATTTTGTACTTTCAAAGCACAACAACTACTATATGCCATGTAATTATAATTATTAATATGGGAACTATGTTATCGAGATTCTCAGAGATAAAACAGTTGAACTTCTTTCTAATTATAAAAAGGTCTTTTTTCCTTTGATGTTAGACAGAAACATAAAGAATCAGAATCTATAGTTGTCATAAATTTTATGTTGTATACAGATCTATGGATTTGATGTTGCGTAATGAAGATGAGAGAGCCCAGGCACTGCGTGTAGTCCGTCGTATAGTGGCCGTAGTTGGCCCCGCAGGACAAGTACTACAACAGCATAGGGGAGCTTACATTGATCCAGGCTTACTACGATGTCTTGCGGCCGTCGCTCGTGCTGGTAACTCTGGAGATGGTGCAGGTGACAGATTGTCTAGACCTGCAGTCGCTACTTTAGCTGAAATATGTATGTATTTGTAAATTTATAATATATGTACTTATTAGAAAATTTGATCATGTTTTTCAGAAAGACCTTTGACTACTCGAAGGTACCTCATTAGTGATAATTAACAGCATATACAGTTTTTGGTTATTGAAAGATTTAATGGCAACAATTATTATTGTTCTTACAGGCGTCTTAAATCCAGATTTATTTATATCATGTGGGGGAGTGACTGCAGTGACGAGACAACTGGCCGAATGTGCGACACCTAGAATGGCTGAAGCACTGTGCGGAGTTTTATTGCATACCCTTAATGACCCTGCGTCCCGAATTTCTGCACGAATCGATCTAACTTGTCTAAGCTCTCCATATTGTGATTTTCATTTTCGACCTGCGGGAACTGATTCTAACAGGTTTGTACGGCGTATTTGTATGAGATGTATCATTGTTTATATTAGGATTTTGTCGATTGCAGTTTTTTTATGTATAACATCTCTGGATAGTTTATCATCATTCCTTTAATTATTGTATTAAAAGTATAATGTTTGAGTTAGTATTAGAATCTGACTTTAGAGGTGTAACACCTTACTCTTTCTGAGTGGCGATCGAGGAACCTTCGACATCTGTATAAATTCATTTATTCATGTCTATAGATGTTGGTTACCACTTTCCATGTTCGTTACACTCACTAATAAATAAGTTAGCGAATATTGATTGCCTCATGGAATGGCCATTATAGAAAGTTCCGTAGAATGTGGATAGAAGTCTTTATTAATTACATATATTATTATAATCAATATAAATTTCTATTTGTTGTTTGTTTAAAAATCTTTATTGTGCAAAAGAAAACAGAAAGAAAATAAATATATCAAAAAGTACCTACTAGTGTATTTATTCCTAGAAGGAATATCTTTTAGTCTTCCTATCTTTCTGAATGATGTTAGCACATGTTAATATTAAGTAATAATATTATATTTCTATGAATTAAGTTAAAGATCAGAAATTCTATAATTTAAATTATTTAAATACAGAGATGAACGCGAAATGCGGTTTACATGTAGCCGGTTGGCGTTGCTCTGTGTTTTACGGAGTTGGCCGGGCCTGCTCCACTTCTGTCATCCTCACAGCTCCGGCGGGCTACGTGCGTTGGTTGCTGCGTTGTATCTACCGCGGTTAGAAGTCCGAGTGAGTATATGTGTATGATCAATATATTGTAAGAAGGCAATTACGAAGTATAGAGATTCTTGAATAATGAGGTGTGTGAGAAAAAATTGTATTACTTTGTTTGATGTATCTTCTGTAGAGTCCTAATGGAAGTTACATTTATATTGTCAAAATTAACTTTATTATATTTTGTATATGAGACTGGGGTATTTAGAGTAAAGGAATTTTAATTTCATTTGTAAGCAATCAATCCAGTATGTTCTTAAGTAAGTTTATATTTTACAAAAAAAGGGACTTCAATTGTGGAAAAATCTGACTTTTTTCATGACTGATCTTCTGAACTATTTTCATAAAATTTCTATGAGACCAATATGCAAGTATGTATATCCTTTTAGTTAAAAAAGATTTTTTTCAAATTGGTTTATAACTGACGAAGTTATGAGGTAATATTATTATCTCATTACCATAATAAACATAAGAAAATACAACTGAAATAAGAACTTCCTTCTCTTTGAGGGCTTTTTTTTATGGGTGAAAATGGTATGGTAGCCCCGCCTGTGCTAAAGGGATACGCTGGCGGAACACCAGTGAAGGGTGATAGATGAGAATGAAAACAGGTCAGGTAGCCCATCATGATGAATTCATCAGGAATTAACCATGATAGTTTCCAGGGGGAACCGCGAGGAGGTCCACCTGGTTGGGTATATTGCTAGCAATGGGATTCTCAGTCTTCATTACTAACAATCCCTTTCCCCCCTCTCCTTGAGGTTGGTTGAAAGTTTGTAAAAATATGAATTATATTAAATGAAGTTTCATATTTACTACAAATATTCTATTCTAGTAATGCCCTTGTTCTACTATTGTTTTTATTAACAGTAAATTTTAACTCAGGATAGTTTAAGTTGTAATTTTTGTGTAGAAATTTGAATTTTATTTTTTTGTTTTTACATCAATGTGAATTCCTAATTACATAATTTCATCATGTGTTACAACTGCTAACAACAGGTAAAATATTATATATTTACAGAAAGCTATACTCGATTTGCTATATGAGTTAGTTGGATTGCCACAACCGGAGTGGACAGACGAGATTTCTGTAGCTTTGGATGCAGTAGATCCATCAGATTTTCAAGTAAGTTGTGATTATATATAAAAGGACTTCTATTTCTATTAATTTATATATATGTATATTCAAAATTAAAATCTATTCAATCTCATTTATATGTAATTGGTAATTTAATATCAAATCTATATCGTGGCATATTTTTTTTTTAAAGTATTGTTGATTAAGTTTTCTTAAATATTATAATTTAAATTAAAAAACATATTGATTAATTTTAGGACTCATGGCGACTAAACGAAGGTTTCGTCGCTGCTGAAGGGACTGCCATATTACCTCATCTTAGTGCTACTGGACCTGATATAACTGAAATCCATCTTGCACTATTACTTCAGTGTTTCTTAGAGGTAATCCTTATTTTATTTACTTATTATTATTAATGTTTTATTTTGATAGAAAAATATAAATTTTTAAAAATATTTTTGAGAAAAAAAAAACAGTTGTATTACATATAAAACTACTAGTTTATGGTAAAATTAATAGTTTATTGATAATTTATCATATATATCATATCAGCCATTAACTGTTCACTGCTGAACATAAACCCTCCAAGGGAGGGCCCTTGGGGGGTTAACAGTTAGGTTAGGTTTTGGTGATGTTTAAAGAGGTACGCTGCCGCCCAACCTTCGACCATTAAGTTCCCTTAGTCGCCTCTTACGACGTCCACAGGAATGGAAGGGTGGCCCGTTCTATGCCGGGACCACATGACCTGATTGATGTAATATTTTTTATTAAGTGCATTTTAATCTTACTACAGACTAAAAACAATAATTCTTCATTTGCAGGCTGGATTATTAGATGGACTAGCTGAAGTGATAGTTACAAGTGATACATTTATATCAGTAAGGGCAACCGTCTTATTAGGGCAACTATTGCATTTAATACACCTATTTCTACCTCCTCAACTATGTAATATAACTCCTGCACTTCCTTTGCTGATGGCTCAGGCATCGGCAGGCAAACCTCAAGCATTAGCCGCTGTTGCGGCATTGCGCAGACTACATGCCATGCTCGAAGCTCGACCGGCCAGCAGCAGTTTGTTCCTAGACCATATTTTACAGTATTGTAATGGTGCATTTAAAGAAAGAAACGAAGACACTACCAAAAGTCGAAAAGAGAAAGATAATGCCAATATGGCAAAACCGAAACAAGAGATTACCTTGCAGAAAGAGAATAGTATAGAATTTTTGAATGAATCAGATAACGAAAATGAGCCAAAAAGACATAGCGTCGGCTCACGGGCCGATATTGCGAATAGGAATGTGAGTGCTTTAGTGAAAAGTAAAAGTGTTAGTTCACGGACTAGTGCAGCTGTGAGTAAAGTAACCAAATCTGCAAAGTTTTTTAATTTATTTGAAAATGACAGTGATAGTTTGATTCGTTGTTCATTGGTAATGCAGAATAAAGATGGAAACACGTGGGATTGGGAAATTATAAGAACAATTTTAAAGGTATGGCTTATATAATAATGTATTTACTATTATAAATTTTTAGTAATACAAAACATATTAAAAAAAGGAATTTTTAGAAATGGGAAAGGCAATAGTGTTTGAACTGAATAATAAACTATAGTAATTATGAAATTTAAATAATTACTATAATCGTTTTCCTCAAAGAAACATGGTTTCAAGAATGTTGAAACCTTTTGAAATTCCCATACTGACATGGCACGAGTTCAGCTCAAGTTTAAAACTGTTAAATGCAAATTTGATGTTTACTCATTGAACACAATTAAGGGTTTTAGAGGCTTTATAAATATTAATAGTGCCACTCAGACCTCTGATGCCAACTACTTTAAAAAGTTTTAAACGGCACAACGTCATCGGGTTCTCATTTTTACTATTAGGTACACTTATAACTTACCACAGCATAACACAGTATGATATATCATTCATGGAATGATTATTTCACTGATGTTAGGCATATATAGACAGGATAGAATATTTAATCTACCATGTGCAGTGCAAAATTAGCTATTAATAAATATCTTACAGACTATTGCTGCACTGTACATAATAATATAAATGTTACTCCATAATTGACATAATTTTGATATTTCTATTTTTTTTATCGAGTTTTGGATTTGAAAACTAGTCCTATAATCACGTCTTATTTAAAGAGTGTTTTCACTCCTATATCAATGATAATTCATTGTGATATAAAAACAACTAAAGCATTAACTATAAACTGCTTATATAAAAATTATTTTTGACCGATTTTTATTAATTTGTGGTTGGTGCTGCAGGAAAGCGAAAACGGTCAAGTGTTGAATCTGAACGAGAGCGGGCACAAGGCGTGGGCGGCGCGCATCGTAAGCTACTTGAAGCCGTCGTCCAACAAGTACTCGCACACGGACCTGTCGACGGCCGGCCACGGCCACGCGGCCACACGGGCCGGCTGCCATCTTGTGCGCCGGTTGCTCGTGCAGCGGGACGTTAGTCGAGCATTAATTAATTTTTTTTTAAACTAGCTGTCAGGATAAAACTTTCTTGCCTCTCTACACAAGTAGCAAACGAATTCATTGATGGACTCGTTATCGCAAGTGAGCCCATGAGTTGGAATGAGACATTGGTTGTTGCTCTGTCATAGACACGCTAGCGATGATAATTCCATCAATGGATTCACTTGCCACTTGTTTAGACGGTCTGATTCAAGTTGGGGCAGATAATATAAAATTACAAATTTTTTTAAATTTAGGAGATTCACGTGAATGTATACCGTGATAAAGTAAACAGTTTATACGAAATAATGAGGTTTTTATATTTTTATCTTCCTTGAACTTCAATGAATATTAGAAAAAAATATATGCTAAGTTAACACTGTCATTCACGAGTTTTGCACTTACCAACACATTTAGTGAAACGTTTTAGGTACTCAATCATGTTTAAATATCTACATTATCCTTATTTCTGAAATAAGATACTTTATAAATGAGTAAACGTAGATGAAGCCAGGAGATACACACTAATGATTATTAGTATCTAAATAATTTTAGAATTTTAAATGAATTAGGTGTTATTTTGCGGAAGTCCATATCACTGATTAGTTGATTGTAATTATTTTGTTTAATTCCACTACCATTAGTCTCCGTTAGTCTACGCGCATGTAAAGCAAGTGTTGCAACTCTAAACGGGGCATCTTCAGGCTATTAAGGCCGGTTTCCCACAATAGTGCCACTCTCGGTATGATCAGTACCAACACAGTTTGATTAAAACTGGACTGGATTGTAGTGTAAATACACATATTTGTATAAATGTAATGGGAAATATTGTGTAATGTACAAAAAGGCATAAGATATAGTTTGTTTCTACAGAAAATAATATTACTTCAGTACTGGTGTAAATGTCGTATAACATAAAGAAATACAATATAATTGAGTACCTTCACCTTTTTTAGAGATTATCATAATAATAATGTGTAATTTTGTATTATTTGATGTCTTTTTTACTTTTAAACTGTGACCACTAAAATGAACTTATTTGTTTTTATCAGGCGGACTGTCAGAAGTTATTGGAAGATCTGTTTATGGACGTGAGTCGCCAGATAGAGGCAATAGAGACGGGTATGAAAGCTCACGGTTGTTTGTTCAGCCCACAGCATATGTGCAATACAATGTGCCAAATGTACTTTCTGTTCATTGGACAACTATGTCACTCGCCCAATGGACTCCGGTTATTTAAACAAACGAAGTTGTATGACAAGTAAGTATATTTATATTAATTATATTAATAGCTTGCAAATATTTAATGTATAAAATGTAATTTATGTTAAAAGTGTGCTTACACAAGGAAACAGTGTTCAGCATCAATTTATTAGTACAAATTGTTACGTTTGAAATAGTTGATTAAACCGCGCATATTCATAACGAGCTGGAACTCATTATTTTTAAGGCTTGTTATCTGCACCGAATTGTATCCATTAATTACTTGAGTTTCTAAAATCCATTTCATTACAAAAGTACGTTGAACATTTTTACAACAAAAATTCTTTTTACTTATACATTCACAATATTTTTTGTTACAATTTTTTAAGATATGTAATAATAATTATTATTTACAGTCTCTTAGATTTATCTACGAAGACACATCACACCTGTTATGTCCAGCTAGTGATATCAAGTCTGGATTACACTTTAGACTCCTACCCTCGCGATATTCTTGCCAAAACCCTCACATGCGGCATCCAAGCCTCCAGATTATACGCAACACAATTCCTAAATGTTCTGTTACGAGCATCACGGAAGTCTCGTGAACTAGTACGAAGGAAGTCTAAGTTAAAGAAAAACATTGTTCAAGAGCATTTGAAGTCTAATAGAGAAGATATTGACAACCATGGTGTGGATATGGATACGTGGATACTGCAGATGTTGGTTGGACAGGTGAAAGATGATTATAAACCGGTAGTCAAATGCGCACTTGCCATTTTAGAGGAAGCCTACAGTGTTCCTGTAAGTATAAATATTTAAGAGTTGTTGTTGAGAAAATGTTTGAAACAAATATAAAAATAGATATTGTGCTCTCAAAATTGCATTGCCTACTTTAGAAACCAAATCCTTGAACCAATTTTCGTGAAATTTCTATGGAACCAATCTGAATATCGTCTAAATATTTTTTTTTTATTTTTTAAATCGGTTTATAAATGACGGAGTTCTGACGAAACAAAAAATAGTAAAACTAAATTGAGGACTTCGTCTTTTTTTAGTCTGTCAAAAGTATTCCAATCCTCGTTTTAGTCAATATAGTTATGTCTATTGCGCTTTTAAAGCTCGTTCGATAATATTTGGAGATTTATATTTAAAAAAGTACACTTATTCACTTTTTTAACACGTCTCATGACACGTGACACGAAAAAGCTGCGTAGTAAACTTCTAGCTAATAGATATGAATTTTAATAAATATTTCGTAATTGTACACAGACATACTTTGATAAGCTGATATCGATGAAAGAGACGCTCTGTCAAAACTGTCGGTTGGATAAGAATATGGATCCGTCCACTTACGACTTCTCGGCCGTCGGCGACAGAGGTTATCTTCTGTGGCTCGGGCTCGAAGTTGCCGCCGCTTCACACGCATCTGATCCCAAATCGATGACGTTTCTAAAGAAACATCTGGAATTTTGGACAAAATCATATAACTACAGGTAATTGGCTAATGTTAGATAATAAATATAGTAATATTTCATTAAGTTTGCTTCATTTGAAAAATCAATTATTAAGGCAAACTCTGAGCCAGTAAATCTTGAAATTTTATTTGAGTGCATAAGTTTCGTTCGTGAGCAGTCATTTCTAAATTCGGTTTGAGTTTACATCAAACGCATTTCTTGTATTAGTATAATTTATGCATTAAATTTGTATATTATTCGTAGATTGTTTATATTTAGTTTTATGATGTTGTGTTAATGTATTTATATATATATATATATATATATATATATATATATATATATATATATATATATATATATATATATAGAATAGGCTATTTTTTTTTATACAACTTAGAATGGCAAACAAACTGACGGCCCACCTGATGGAAGCGGTAACCGTCGCCTATAGACATGAGCAGTACCATGAACATAACAGAGTATACTGTTTTGCCCATGATACCTGCCATGCGTTGCCATTCCTGAGGACTCAGATGTTATTCCTCTGTACCCAGTAAAGTTCCCGTGGGTTTGATAAGAGGTAATTAAGGGAGCTCAATGGTCAAGGGAAGGGCAGCAGCGTCCATCTTTAAACATCACGAAAGCTTAACTATGGTTGCCAATTTGCCTGTAAAACGTGATAATTACTGGCAGAAACCTCCAATAGGGGGAGGCCTATGTTCACAACATAGTAGGAGTAGTTAACATATGACAGTTACTGGCTGATATGGCATGGCGCACATATAAACTGCCTTGTGAAAATAATATATAAAAATATCCCTGTCCTCGGCTCGTCGGCTCGTTCCCGTACAGTACAAACAGAGGGCTGTTTGTACTGCACGGGAACGAGCCATCAACTATCGAAAGGAGAGGTAGTGCGGTTAAGGGGTACGCGACTGAGGCGGTGGATACAGCATAGCGGTGTGTGCGTGCGGCAGGTACGTGCGGCTGGTGGAGACGGGCGTGCACGAGGCGCTGACGCTGAGCGAGGGCGCGGGCGCGCGGCCGGCGGCGCGCGCGCGGCGGCCGGCGCGGCCCCCGCCGCACCTGCACGCCGCGCTCGTGGCGCGCCCCGCCGCCGCGCGCGCGCGCGCCGCGCTGCTCGCGCTCGTGCTGCCCGCGCACTACAAGGTATGCCGCGCGTGCATGTGTCGCAAACAAACAACAAGTTCGCACTATTTTTTTTTGTATGTGTGAAAACGTGCGTTTATAGAGTACATCACTGCAGCGGCCGGCAAGAGAGGCATTGATGGACGAACGTGCAAATGTGGACCGAGGCGTAGCCGAGGCACACATATCGTCATAGTCGTAAAATACTGACGGATCTGACGAATATTACATATATAGATATGTCAGTATTTTACGACTATGACGATATGTGAGTCCATCAATGCCTAGTTGTGACCAAGGTTTGTATAGTACGAGTACTTTTCTCAAACAATGCGCGGAAATAAAAAAAATAATTTTACTTTTTAAATTCAATGACGAATAACGAACAATAATAATTTTTCACCCGCCATAATTTTCCTTTCTTTTTTTTTTCAATAAACAGCTTTCTATTTGCAAGCCAGTTCGAAATTTAAATAAAATCTTTTATTAGTTACCTCCTTGGTAGCCATGTTTCGAAGTAAAAGGTCATTCCATTTTTAAATTACGAGACAGATATGTGTTTACATAGTAATTTATCTGGCCGCAAAACACGACAGATATGGATTTTCATACAACTTTTGCCGGCCGCTGCTCGCATGTATCTGGCCAGTACGGCAATTTTGATTTATCTCGAAGAGGATTGTCGAAATGAAGCTCACATTTTCAAGCATGTTTGAGAAAAAACGACTTTTATCATGCCTCCGATCCAACTGTTTATAATTCTCTCCATCCATTTTCTTGCTATGATCATTTCTTGTTATTGTTTGTATCTATATAATATCTATACAAGTTTACTGTTCTAATCTTTTGGAGGAAACAATAAAGAGTATCTATTTAAAATGGTAACCTGCGTTATTGGTTTTTTTTAATGTTTGGAGATGGAATAGTGATCCCGCCTGCGCTTTCGGTGTACGCTGGCAGAGCACCAGTGAGTGATAATAGGTGAGGGTGAAGTCAGGTCAGTTGGTCCATCGTGACGAATTCCACAAGAAATAGACCGCGACAGTTTCTAGGAGGAGCCGCGTGGAAGTCGACCTGATAAGATATATTGCTAGCAAGAGGACTACTAGATCCTATTACTAATCAAATAATCCCATTACTATACAAATAATCCCGTTCCTCCCCACGTCATTGGTTTGGCAGGCGGATCATTAAGAAACGTATGCAAATCGACATGATCAGACTGTTGTTAGTGCTTCCTTCCATCCATATTCACAGTATGTATATATGCAAATGGTTTTGAGTTCCGACGCCAAAACATATAATAACCGTATCTCTCGATTTTGCCAGCATGATTCAAAACTAATTATTTCCTATGTATTAATCTAGTCTGTGTATCAAATTTCATTTATCTTAGCCACTTAAGTTTGATTGTAACAAACATCGTTATAAAATATTACGTTTATATATATATTATTTATATAGGTCGTCGTGCAGTAAACCTAAGGAGTGTTAACTAAGTGCGCGAATACATCGAGCGATGTGACCACGTCGCATGCTCTCTTTTACTTAAATATGCTATATAATATATACGACGATGTCCATATTCATGCAGCATATATCAACCCGAATGAGTGTCTAGTGCATATAAGATTTTTTTCTTAGATATTACAACGCAAGAAGTGCACGACTGAACAAGAAATTATGGATTTAAAGGCATCACTGTGGGCAATTGGCAACACTGCAGTGACTGCTCAAGGTCTACAACAACTCATGAGCCTCTCCAGTGGCTACCTAGAGGACTCCGTTCTCGTTCACATCTTGCGTCTCGCGAAGTATAGTTCGGCTTACTCTGTACGAGCCACGGCGTTCTATGTTCTGGGACTGATAGGTAGCACTTATGACGGTGCGAATTTGTTATCTGAATTAGGTGAGTCAATTTATTATTAAATATGTTCTAGGCAGTTATTCTAGAAGTCAGTAGTCGACTTACTAGTGAATACAAAACTTCACTTATCATTCATATTATACTTGTCTTTTCATGTTATAGGCTACCAAAAACTATAGAAATGATAGTTTAATTTAAACTCAATTTTATAGTAATATAGTTCATATCGGTACTTTAAAGACCTGGAATGCTCACTTGCCAATTTATATGGCTTTATATTTATATGGCTTTCTAATTAATTATTATTAATATCTAGTTACGAATTTCACTATTTATCTCATACGACTAACTTCATCTTGCTTTGATTGTTGCTGCCAAGATATCTAGATTAATTTGTTTTAACAGGTTGGCTTTGCGTGAGACATACAAGGCACGATCAGTTTCCTCTTATACCAGACGAAACTTACCAGGGCGCACGCGAAGCCCGTGGCAATGAGTATTTCGTCACGTCACCCGAGCGTCGATATAACTATGACACTGAAATAAGCGAACATTCCGATCATACTGACCAAAGTATCGCAGAGAGCTCACACTCAGATTTTACAAAACATTTGAGCAAGGTAGGATCACTATTGGCGGAGCAGCCAGAATTAAGAGATCAAGACGTTGTGGATTATAAAATTAACTTTACCAACGATGGACGGAGGGAACCTGATAAGCGTAAGTCTCACACGCTTCCGACACAAGGTTGTTCTAGCGCACTCGACCGTCCAATGCTCTCTGAATCTAAAACGATAGATATATTGAGAGATTGTCCCAATTATGAGCGTCAAGGTGGTCACCGCACTGAAAATAAGCTTGTGATAGGCAGGATGAACTCGTTAGAACACCATGAGGGTAGAGTAAGGAACACTAGTGAATCGAGCACTAGTGGAGTGAGCAGTTGTGATTCGTTTTTCGGGAAATACGCTATTCCGTAAGTATTGTTTAATTAGTAACTGATATATTCAATATTGGCAAATAAAAAAGTTGTAATAAGAGAATATGTTTGTTTCAGCGATAGAGTGTTAACTCTAAGTCCAATACCAAGCTCTTCAAGTCTGTATGGTATGAAGAGTAACAATACTTCACAACGTCCCAAAATAACTGAACTACAACGACGCACTTCAACTTCCAGTGAGACATGTTGTTTTTTTTACATAATTTTCTTGTTACTCGAGTTTTAGTTTTATATTATACAAGTAGACAACAGCTATCTTAAATGACTATATACTATTGTTAACAAAATATTGTTTATCTGGTAGAAGGATTCCACTGATTTTTTAGTTACCATATATTTGATTGTAACACTGATTTACCAGAGGGAGACTTTGTACAAAAGTCGTTTGCTTGGGTACCTCTGTCACATTCGTGTTTCAACCGCAAAGCAGTTGTGTTTGCATGGCTGTGTTTTGGTTTGAATGGGTGGGATATGGCATGAATTTACAGGGTACAGAGGAATAACACCTGAGTCCTCAGGAATGGCAACGCATGGGGGGGTATCATGGGCGAAATAGTATACTCTGTTATGTCCATGGTACTGCTCATGTCTATAGGCGACGGTTACCATTTTCCATCAGGTGGGCCGTCAGCTTGTTTGCCATTCTAAGTTGTATAAAAAAAAACTGCCTAAGAGTAATGTTCTGTTTGCAAGTTGATTAAATTATAGTATCATGGTTATCATTACACAATGTTATGTATTTCCAGGCTTTACCGGCCCTGATGTAGCGAGTTCACCGCCTAGCCAATTGGACATTACAGGATATGCAACGCTGAAGTCATTAAATCGGCATAGACGGTAAACTTTGTTATTCTGAATTTCATAAAATCTTTTATCTGTTCTATTATAACTTTGACAACCCTGTTGCAATCGGTTTATTGACTTATTATTATGGTAAATGTGAAACTCTTTATCCACATTTTACAATTTTTGGAGAAACTATGTTTTGTAAATAGTGTTATATTACTGGAGAAATCTCGAAACAAATTGTGTCCTTTTCAATTTGCTATTCATTTTGATACTGGTTAGATTATATTTTAAATTATTGCATATAAACTTAAAGAGACATAACACCTTAATCATCAGTTACCATAAGTATCTTAATGTAACGTGTATATATGTGTAATAAGAGAGGGACTGGCTGAAAACCAGCGCTGTGCAGCTGTTCACATGTTCACATGTGCGCTGGGACACTCACAGCATCAGCTGAGCCGGTTCCTTTTGCCGGGTGTGGGACACTTTTTGTATATGTTATTTGTATTTTAAATTGTAATTGTATAGCAATAAATGTTTCTATTCTTCTATTCATATGTATGAAGATGCTGTTATTACCTACAACAAACAGACCGCTATCTATCTATAATTTTATGCTATCTATAATTTTTTAAATGTTTAACATTTGTTGTTTATATTAAAGACCGCATCTGTCGGAGAGTGCTGCGACAGGTTCTAGCGATCTTGACGACCTAAGTTGGTTACTCAGCGACACAAATAGGCGGTCGAAGCCTTTTTCGTCGCTACGTGATAGAGCAAAGTCAACCAGGGAACGCATGAACAAATTAAGGTAAGAATAATTTTTTTAGTTCCGTAGATATGACGTTAATATTTTTTGTTTGGCATAAAAAAATGCAATGAATTAATATGTATTAGTTTATTTCATCGAAGTCATTAGACTACGATTTCTAATAATTTAATTTATAAAATGTTTTCCTAAAAAGAAATGTGAAAAGAAATCTGAACGAAAATGTGTTGAAATATGATAAGAAATATAGAGTTTCTCATGCCTACTAATTTGATTGTTAAACGTACCAGATATATTTTTTTTTTAGTTTGTTAGCAGTTTTAAATAGATACTAATAGTTTTGATTTCAAGCACCTGTTTAATGTCGTTATAACAGTGTAAAAAATAAATAAAAATGAGAGATTTGCTTTGCAAAAACGTAGCTTCTTCAACCGTTCAAGCTTTATACTAGACCAATACGGATCTTATCAATTGTAAAAAGAATTAGCAAACGTGGTTTAGAAATGCACCAGTGAGAAATGATAGGTGAAAATGAAAAAGCAGGCCAGTTGGCCCATAGTGACGAATTTATAAAGAATTAATTAATATTATTTCCAGGCTGCGTGGGGGTCGACCTGTTAGGGTATATAGCAATGGGAGTGGTTAACCGCATTACTAACAATCTCTTTCCGCCCCCCGTTTTTTAAGCAATACTATGTTGCATGTTGTACAGCCTGCTGGACTACGACTGGAAGCCGCTGAGTGGTGGCGAGACAGGCGAGGCGGGGGAGGCGGGCGAGGGAGCGGCGCCGCGTGCCCCGCGCCGCGCGCCGCCGCCCGCGCCGCCCGCGCACCGCCCGCCCGCCTACCTCGGCATCTGCCTGCCCAGGGACCTCATGGACCTCTTCCCCAGGTATCTGTTATGCATGCACCTCTTCTCCTTTTTACTAGTTAACCCCTAAAACTGAAAAAACAACGTTTGCTGTTTTTCTCCTAACCGGGTCATTATTTCATTATAATTGGTCGAGCGGTTCTAAAGATTACGTTAATGTTACTATAATTTTTTTTTGATGGGTGAAAATGGTATGGCAACCCCGTCTGCGCTAATGGGATACGCTGGCGGAGCACCAGTGAAGGGTGATAGATGAGAATGAAAACAGGCCAGTTAGCCCATCATGGTGAATTCATCAGGAATTAACCATGATAGTTTCCAGGGAGAACCGCGAGGAGGTCGACCTGGTTGGGTGTATTGCTAGCAATGGGATTCTCAGTCTCCATAACTAACATCCCTTTCCCCCTTAATAATATTATATTTATCTGTATTAGTGTGAATGAACATCGTAAGATAGGATTTTTGTATAAGATCAAGGGTTCATACTGAAACTACCGACGTGAATAAAAAGTACAAACAGCAAGAGTTTTGGTATAAATGCGCAATTACTAAGTTTGTGTAATATTTATTAGTTTAAGATTAATAATATAAAATTAAATCTGTACTCGCTTGAATGGTTTCTCTTTCTTGATATTTAATAACTTTAAATGTGTATTTTTATATGTATATTATTGTCTGTACTTGACTGTTTATTTTTAAATCGGCAGAGACGATGAGGTTAAAGAAAATGAAGAGTCAGAATGCAAGAACTCAAGAAGGAACAGAGTGCCGTCGTTTCTGGTCGAATCTAGCAATGCCAGTACTGAAAATAAATCCCGTGCAACTCCCGATAGTCAAAAGCTAGCTTCTTTTAAAGGTATGTTCATACATTTTACATTAAAAAGATTTTAGAGCCTTAAAATTGTTGTACAACCCAAGAGGCGTGATTCTTAATTTTTTTATTCTTATGGTTTTGTCACGCCATGTCTCATATATATAGTAAAGACAATCGTATTTTTTTTAATGGATGAAATTTGTAACTTAGCGATATGAAATGAGGATGAAACTAGACTTGTCGGTTCAACGTGATGAATTCACTAAGAATTTACCACGATGTTTTCCAGGGCTGACTGCGTGAAGGATGACCTGATAGGGATGTACCTGATTGCGGATCTGTACTCCTCATCCCTCTTCCATTAACAATTCCTTTCACAGAAACATGTTGCATATTTTAGTTATAGTTATCTACTACTTTACGTGGTAGGTACTCTACGGTCTACGTGGTGACCATCAGATGACTATAATCAATGTAATATGATCATAATATGCCAGTATTTCTCAACTGAATTCTTCCACTTTCACATTGTACCGATATGTTTCATTATTTGTTAATCCAAATTTAAAATTTTCACCAAGGCAAAAACTATTGGTCAGTCATAATAGTTTTTATACCTTAAAAGACACACGATACCGATTATCGAGCAAAGTGTAATAAATAAATTTATGGTTTTTTGATGCAACTGAAAATGGCGAACAAGCTGACGGCTCACCTGATGGAAAATTTCTTATAGACATGAACAGTAACGAGAGCCTCGTAAACTGTCATTCCTGTGTCTAGTCATGGGACATGGATAATGTAGCGTGGTTATTGGATAATAATACTTTCAGAAATATTATTTTTAATGTCACGACACTAGTCACACGCATACCTGTAAGGCGTAATTTATTTTGAATTAAATTTTTCATACTCCACTATGTCTAGAGTTCAATCGTCAAATATTTTACATATGTGACTAGTTTAAGTCCAGTTACAACACAGTGTCAACAGAATATACTGTGTCACATCATGAAACCCTTTATGTGTTACTATTCCTGAGGACTAAAGATTAACTTTGTTTTGCGCAGATACAGCAATAATGAGTCTCACCGGTAGCCGTGGTACCGTAACCCACGCGACAATATCCACGACGGTTAACAACACTAGTACATTATTTATAGCTGGTGATAGAAATACCAAAGATAAAGTCGGTCAGAGTTCGACAAATGTTACGGACACCGAATCTACTGGGAAAACGAGTATAGAACCGGCAGCCATTAATACAGTGGACGCTGATAAAAGAACCGATGGCGACGGTACAAGTACAGCGGGCAAATACCAGGGCGCAAGTGAAGATAATGTCAGTATCGGCGCTCGGAGAACCCACCGGTGGCGGCATTCTGCGGCAGATTGCTTAGTGTGCGTAAGAACGAGACCGCCGTCGTCACATGAGCTACGCGAGGCATTTTTTGCTGGTATGTCAGATGTTATGTTTTTGTTATTATTATTATTCGTACATTGTTTTATTTGCCTGAAAAAGCCCTTGTGTGGATGATTTATATGTCAATATTTGCAAAAACAAGGGAAATACCTAAATACACCAAACTACCAATGCCGGCCCGGTTTCGCACGGGTGGATATAATTTTCGAAAATAATATACAGTTCATATACTGATAAAGAATTCTATAGACGAAATAATTTTTAAATCGGTTGTTTTTGAGCTCAGCATTATTCATCAGAAACAAATAATAATTATAATATTAGTAAACATATTGATTAGTATCCAGTGGCAAAAATATTGTATTTTTTTTTAAAAAGCAAAGAACAAATAAAAATATTTTATTTGTTCATTGCTTTTTTTTATTTAAAAAGAAAAAGCAAGTTCTATATACTTATAATACTAGCATTATAGAGAGATAAATCCATATATAAACTAAAAAAAAAATATAAAGCTTACACAGTTTTAATTTAGCAGGTATATTTGCAAACCACAAAAGAATCATTCATTGTTTACATTTACTACGGAAACTTGAAATACATGAGCCGAGTCTCAGAGAATGATAATATAATTGCATTAATGGTTTACAGGTATGGATAGCAGTATTGAGATTCGTAGTCCGCCCAGCAGTCCTGTGAGTGAACAGAGTCCATATGCTGACGTGTTACATCACGTCCACTTTATGTCCAATCCTATACATTTAAGACAGGTTGGTTTTTTTTTTTATTTTTTACAATCTCTTGCTTTTTATGATGAATATCAAACAAAACTTACGTATAATCCCGATAGATTCTGTGACGACTATTAATCTTATGATTTGATTTAGGCTTCTATCCTTCGAAATTTAAATGAAAAACCTGCAACTTCGTCTATGTGACCGAGATATCTTTACCGACTAATTATAAAATGCCCATGCCCCTATATCTCATATGATTGCCCGTACGGGATCGCCACTTAAGAACCTTTCTTCCCCATCGGTTGTTCGAGTTATGTGACCAACGCATTGCCACTTCAGCTTGCTTATCGGCTATTCGAGCTATGTCAGTCACTTTGGTTCTTTTGCGTATATCCTCATTTTGGATTTGGTTACGCAAAGAAACTTCGAGTATAGCCCTCTCCATAGCTCGCTGATAACTTGAAGCTTTTGCATACGAACAACAGTGTAGGACAAAAACTCTGACATTTACTAGTAATATTGGTAGGGATTTCATGTCATGTCCTTGATATAAAATTGTTCTTTTTACCTTATACAAAATTATTATTAGGTAATAGAATAGAAACTTTATAATATCAATGTGTTATGCAATCATATTATTACTTAGATAACATGTTTCAAATGCATGTCAGTAGTGTAATGTTTAGTCTCACGCAAATAATAATAATATTAGCCTTGTATAATGTATGAATAGATTTAAAAAATGTTGACATATAGACTACAATTATCTCACTAACCTGATTTTTACAATTCAATAAAATATGATTGTATGCAATTTACATTATCGGTCACGGTTTCAGTGCACGCTCATTTCCTCCTATTATTTATATTTTTGTTCATTTATGTATTTACTTTCTTTCTTATATGTGTGTGTGTTGCAAATTGCTTTTATACACACCATCATTGTATCCTATCTTTTCTTTTTTTTTTTTAATAAAATCCTTACAATATCATTTTTCCACTTTAAACTGCATAAAGAAATAGTAACCCAGTAGCTATCTTTGCTACGATATCATCAAATGTTGCATTCACAGGCGCGATCAGCACTGGTGTCGTTGAAGCAGCGTCACCCGGAAGTGTTTCGTAGCGCGTGCGTGTACTCGGACGTGAGCGCGCTGCTATCCGCCGATACGTACATGCTGTGTGCGCGTCGCTTCCTGCAAGAACTCTTCCTTGATACTGTTTTTGAAAGTTTTGCCGCTGTGCCCGCGCAACTGTTACAACGACATCAGGTCGAGCTCTAGTATCAGTCTGGTGTGCTAACTACATCCAACATTTAAATAGGTTATAAATGCAGGGGCATAGATCTGACATTGTTACACGCATGTGCCCGGCGATTGTGGCCATATGACGCGAGAAACTGCCTGCTTGGAGGCCCGTGCGCGTGATTGTCTTAGCGCAATCGTTTATTATTTTACAGGCGTTATAGGATTTGTATTCTTTATTTTTCTTTTACAAAATGTATAACGTTGTAGTTTTGCATATTAATAGTTATTCCATTGACCGACGGGCAAAAATTTGTTATAGAAAATATCGGTTAAATATGCAGCGAATTGTGTATATGTGCCTAATTTTTTATGAATAGGAACAGCCTATTTCATATAAGAAAATTTAAACACTATTCAAGGTACTAAAATATAGTGGAATAATTGAAATGTGTTCCAACTTTTGCTCCAACTTTTTATATAAAAAATATGCGACGTATAAATTAATGGAATGGCTACTAGATACATTTTTCTTTAGAATGTAATATATTGTACGTGTTAATATAATTTTGTTTTGTTTGTATGACAAGTACTATGGATTAGAAAAATAAATTAAACAAGGTTTATACAAAGGTTATAACCAAATTTGAATGACATGTTATTGTGACGATGAATATTACAAATTTGTATGGTATTTTGAGTTGCATGTTTTGTTCATTGCATCACATCATGTCAAGTGATACATTCTGTTTCACTATCACATCAAGATGTGATTTAGTTTTTGAAGCAGAGAATATAACATTTGAAATATTATAATGTATGTCATATCTACTTGCATTATATACAAAGTTCGCATTGATCTGTTTGTTGGTAATAATTTGATGGTATGACTTCCTACTAGTGTTAAATTTTCTCAGCTTTTACTATAATTTATGAAATTCGTTTAGTGTGTAAAAGAAGTGTATTGTTAATTATTAAAAGTAATTGTATTATAAACGAATTTTCACATGAATTTGAATACAAAATAAGCTCTTTAGATATTGCTAATTAGCTTAGTTGATAATTTATATTATTTTATAAGTTAAGTCCTCAAATAACATTTTATCGAATGAATCTTGTCCATTTAACAATTTGTGTGATTTTTAAGAGTTCTAATATTGTTCCTTCCTAACAAACTGATTCTCTGTATTTATTGATTGCAATCAGATCGCGCATTTACTTATAATTCTAATTGATTCGAAATATACGATACGAAATAGTTTTCCCACGACGACAATAGCTAGTGTATATTGTAACTGACTGAATATTGCACCATTCCCTCATCCCCCTATAGTTAATTTAAGTGATGTATCCTAGTGATGTATCCCACCTAAGGCAATCGCAAAATGTTTCCTAATATAGTTTTGGGTAATTACATGCTACATAGTTTTAATACACAATTGTGTTCAATTTATTATACATATTTGCATTTAATTTTATCTTGCTCCTTAAATCATTGTTATATAAACTCAAACGGATTTAAAAATGTTATAATTTTATGATATTAATAAGCACTAGATAAATCCTAATAAATTGTATAAATATTCAAGACTAAAGTATAGGTTAAATTATTTTCATTTGATTATTATTTAATGCACTTTCTGATAAAGAAAGGTTTCAGATACACCAGTATTTCTCGGAACTTTATGACATTCAATTTTATATACTTAGGTACTTACCATATTATCGATATCTGGTCTAGAATTATACTTTAAAGAATTTTTAGGTATAATTTCTCATACCTAATGTGTATTTATGTCTATTATGTCGTCTTATTATTATTTTCAAAGTTGTTCCGTTGTAAGTAAATGCTAGTCTTATCATACCATTCTGTATTAACTTGATTTACTACTAGACCTTTCTTATTGTTATATCTATGTAATAAAAAATGAATCTGCTTTAAAATACTTCATTTGTCAATTTACATTACTTACATAATTATTTACAATTAGAATACAATGATTCATATAATTTGAAATTATTTATCAACAGAGTTTGCTTTCATTAACAGCAGTTAAAAGCAAAATGAAATATAGTGCCATTGTGCTGGTTCCTTACGATTATAATAAAAAGTGTTACATTATTACAGACTCAATTATGTCACAGTCACTATTCAGTATATTAAAAATATTATTTTATACTGCATTTCAATGTTTCATTTACCTAGTTTATAACAATTACAAAAAAAGAATCAATAAGGTCCATTCTGAGGTGCTATTTCTCTAAATGAGCCAATGTATAAATTACATATGTATTTATTATACATTTGTTATCGAAGTTTTTATACAAATCCCTAATTAATATGTTAATCAGGGATTGTAGCATTCTAATGGTGAAAGAGTTTTTGGAATCCGTCCAGTAGTTTTTGAGTTTATTTATTATATACATACAAATTCTTCCTCTTTATAATACAGTGTATGCTCTATATAAGCAACTTATTTGAATCAATTTAAAATTATTCAAAAAATAATTCGTTTATTGGGAAAAGTTGCTTATAGAGAAAAAAGGACTATAAAAATACCGTCTGCTAAATATTTTTACCTATTTCTTTTACTAACTAATCTGAGTAGAATAAATAAAATATAAAGAATGTTGCTTATATAGACTATTCACTGTAATAGATTGAATAATATTATAAGTACACCTTTAATATATATATAAACCAGTTTTACCCATAGTTTCATCCACATTAATTGATATTTTTCTACCAATTTTTTTTTCTAAATCACTAACCAATTAGAAAATTAAAGATTTTTATTAATCAATAATTTTTTATTCTAGATTGCTTCTGAAATACACAATATAAATTCAACTGTTTCTTCTTTTTATCAATATTTATTTCAAATTTTGTGAAAGGAATTTATAATTACAGGTAGTACCTATACTTAGTGGTACACTAATTATTCAGTTTATAAGTTCTGGTTAATATATTATTTTGATGCCTTAAGATATGCATCAGAAATGTTCAATGGGTTATAAGCTTTCTGCGATGCTAAGTGTCGAATCAGGGAACCAACATCTATATGTGTGGGTCTAGGTACAATATTTACTTCTCCCTGCAAATTAATATTTTCCATTATATTTGTAAGTGTACACTTTCTTATAAATGACTTGCTTATTATCGCTGTCTCTAAAAGACATTTTTCAATTACTGCAGCTAGCCTCTTGTCTTCATCCAGTGATTTTCCTTCTAAAGCATTGGCTAGCAAATGGTATACTTGTCTGAAGTCAATATCTTCAGTTTGCATAGCAGGTGGAATTGTTTCAAATTCAGCAATAATTCTAAGTGCAGTAGCAGTTTCTGTTTCAAGGTCTTTAAAATTAAATTTATCAGATAAAAGTTTTGCCCATGTATTCAAAGGAATACGCGATTTAGCATAACGATCTGTCTTTGGCTTTTTGTTTTTAGTAGAAATACGTGGACGGCTTAGTGCTTTTTGTTTATAATAGGCAATAGCTGATTGCACTTCTTCTGTTGTTTTAGTTGGTAGGTTCAGTAATATTTCTTCTAAATTATGTGAGCTATGCATTTTCAAACTTTGTAAGAGAATAAATTTTTCTCTTTTTGTCCAACCTTCAGGTGCAGAATGGTTATAAGTAGAGTCTTGTTCACTTGCCATTGCACCAATAGTATTTTAACAGCTCTGACACTTTTAAAATTAATAATTATGAAATCACTACATTAATTTTAGATATACAAGTTCAAAATTAAGTATTCTGCGTATAACATGGATAGAAAGAAATGGTTGTAATGCTAATGGATGTCACTTTAGTGTACAACTTTTATTTTATTCGCTAATAATTTCTAAATTTGGCTTATGTATTTATTATTTTTTAACCATAAAAATTAGGTTTATTTTAGGTTAATGATTCAAATTGTAGGTACCTATCGAAGTTATAGCACTATATTACCGATAGGAGTTTTATTGATGCTGGTAAGATTTTAAATGTATATTTAAAAGTTGATTAGTAAAAACATGAAGCACATACAGTTTTTGCGAATCAGGCCTACTTGTCACTTCGAACAAAAATCTTTTGTATGAAGCTATGTAAACACTTCAATTAATTTCTGAAGCTTACACTAGAATGTATCTGGATCTATTGATTTGATATTGATTGGTATCAATATTGAGATTTTGCAAGCAGAAGTGATATATATATATATATATATATATATATATAATATAGTAGTAATGATATTTTGTCAATGCTTCTAAATGGTTGCACAGATTAGAGTTTTGTTAGTAATTTGTACTGACACCAGTGCTCCAAATTAAACGTTTTTTGCTTTTTTAGATTATTTCGAAGGGCATCGGATCGGCCATAAATTGCAATTGGTGAATGGTCGTTCAGGTTATGAATAAAAAATTCGGCGATTTAGGACTACAAAAATATTTTCAGTTAAATTATGATGGTTTTAGCAATTTTTATCTAGCTTTAACGGAACCTTAGCAGAAAAGAAAGCAAGTTGTAAAATCTATTTACCAAAGTATCTGCATATTTAGTGCCATACAAATAAATTTTATTCTTTCCCTATCAAAATTTATTAAATCCATATCGAGCACTAGTACATAACTAAGGCGACCAACTATACTTATTTACTAAGTTTTGTACTCTTTTTTCTCAAACCGTACTCTTTTCAAATCTTGTATTCTGAAAGTACTCATTTGTATAATTTTATAAAATTGAAGAAATGAAACGATGAGAAAATAGAACTTGACAAAAAATGGATAGAAATCTTTCGGCATTTCGTCATAGTCGTAGAATACTGACGGATCTTTATATGTAATATTCGTCAAATCCGTCAGTATTCTACGACTATGACGATTTTAGAGTAGAGCATATCACACATGAAAATTTAAAAGTTTTAATAGAAATTTCCTTATATTGTCCAGGTACTAATGCTGCTGTTGAAAGGATATTTTCACTAGGAAATGATTATTGGAGCAGTGAGAAGTCGCAACTTTTTGTAAAAACATTATCTGCCGTCTTAACAGACAAATTTAATATGCAAAATGAAAGTTGTTCGAATGTGGCTACAAACCTAGCTAGCTTAAGATTTTTAATATTTAGTCAATTTATTTAATTTGTCATTTTTTAATGAATGGTAATGGAATAATAACCATAGGCCTATTTAGAGAGAGGATCGGGTTCGCCGTGCCCAATCCAAGATATGAACGAAGCTTAGCAAGGATATGTCCAAGAGTTCATATGCACCTTTTCTTTTATGGGCGACGTTCCAATTTGAAAATAAGCATAAACACTAATGATGGTAACTCCGCCTGCGCGTACTGATAGTGTAGGCAGAGTTACCATCATTCGAGATACCAATGGAGCTGAAACATAATGAAGTCAGATCAGTACTCGGGCAGATTATATCCTAACATAATGTATATTTCACTCTTTTTTGTCATTAAGAATGTTAATATTTAGCTATTAAACAATTAAAAAATACCATAAGTAGGAGCAAAATAAGCAATGCATACAGTGATCTCGCCACCAGTTACATATCAATTATCCAGCTGCATATTACGATCATCCGTCTGCTTGTCACAATGCTGTACTTTAACAACTACCAGTGATATTCAATAGAAATTTGAAATAATTTTGTATAATATTGGTCGACAGACTTTACCGAAGAACTTTTTTGTTTTCTTTACTAGAAGTTCCAAATCATGGACATGGTGGCTATCGCTTTTTTGGCACATTTCGACCAATTTTATCTGGTAACATTGTCTGTAGCAGTTTTTTTTTACAACCAAAGCTTGAGACGAAAGAAATATAGTTATTATTTATTAGGTATGTCTTCTTTTTAATTCAAGACAACACAATAAAATAAAATGTTTGTAGAAAGTGTCACAACTTGAGTTAAGAGCGTTCATAACTTTTGTTTACAGAATTGAGTAATTATTTGTTATTTGTTAAAAACAAATGATTCAATATTTTTAATTGATTATTTAAAAAGTGTTTTGCTAATTAAAACTTTAATTATAGAATACATTGCATAAAAATCTTCTACTAAAAACTTTATACCTTTATATTTTACTTTTGAATTTTTCATATACTATTTTACCATCAAAATCCAAATTTTCAGTGACAATTTAATAAGAATATTTTGTAAGAATAACGTTCGATTAATACTTAGATTAAGGTTTTAATTAGTTATCAGAGCATTTTATTAATAATTTATCAGAAACGTTGAAAAACGTTCAATTGTTTATGGACCATCATAAATAATTTTTATAATAGGTTTAACTTAAATCTATTAAAAAAATATTTTATTTGGTCCTTATTCTTTATTCTAAGGATTTATAATATTATAATTTTAATTTGTGAGATAATTTGAAAGCATCACATCTCAGAATCGAGTTTAATGTTTGTTTCAAGCATCAGTAAAGGATAATAGGTGAGGAGAAGTATTTCTATTTATATATACCAAGTACAGCCATTTTTTATCATCACACCGATCACCATCGACAGGAAATTCATCTGGAACCTAAGTGTTCATGTGTAGTTTCAACGAAATTTTCTTCCACGAACGCTCAGGCTGTAGAATGAGTTCCTTGCCAAAGTTTTCCCTAGAGACTATAGTATGGGGTTCTTCATAAAGGGTATATTAATGTTTCTTTAGTAACCTCTAGTGTTGCAGGCGTACATAGGCTACAGTGAGCGTTTATTATCAGACTGGCTATATGGTTGTTTGCCATGGGATATATATAAAAATCATTAGATATGTTGTGTTAAATATGTGTTTTGATAGCCCTTCATACAATTCCATGTTGTGGAATAGCGTATTACATGTTATTACCTATTTTATACCCAGTTGCGTAACTATATTATCTGAGGCCTGTGGTAAAATCAGCGGGTGGGGTTTTCCTTTATTTAGAAAAGCTCGATATTCTATATCCATATTAATACATAGAAATATTATTAGTTAACTTGAAGTTAAAAAATATTATTTATTAGTTAAGGTATCATAGGTGTCACAATTATTATAAGAAAATATGTACTATTATTCTTTATCTCCGGAACTTGTAACTCACTCGGACGAAGTCGCAAGTAAAAAGTTGTATTAGTATCTACGTGATTAGGTCTTAGATTATGAACTATATAAGTACGTTACATTAATTCTATGTCCAGATCAGTTAACTTTATAGTATACCTACCTATACGATGAATACAATGGGTAAAGTTACATATATTATGGGTCAGAATGGATTTGAATATTTACAACTGAACGTATGGGTTACTTTTAAGAGGTGTTACAGTATTTATTATTATTAAATAATTGCTGTTAGTTCAAGCGCAATAAGGATATATAATACTGAATAACTTCACCATATTTTCATTAGTAACTAATTTATAATAATAATTAGGAATTCAACCATTCTACAAATTTACTAAACAATCTAAGAGCTACTTTAACTATTCTGTCCCAGAAACTACTTTCGTCTTGTACATTATCACTAGGCGTTGTCGGAAGGTCATCAGTATCAAAATTTTCAATCTGCCGCTTTTCTCTGACCAACAAGTTTTCCGAATTTTCATCTGAAAAACAAAACAATATGTATAATATCTTTCTATTTAAATAAGTACAATGTCTCTGTTAAATGAGAGATGGAGTCTGCCCTTTAGGAGAAAGACACATCTGGCTATTTTCAACATACTTTAAACAAAAAGAGATTCTCAATTCGGTTGTATTTTTTTATGTTTGTTACATCATTACTCTGTCAATGGTAAATCTATTTAGATTTTTATTATTTTTTATCAAAATCAGTTCAGTAATTTAGTTTAAAAAAAAATGTTTTGCCGCAAATTTTAATTTTCAGTCAAGAGGATGAATACTGAATACTGATAGTACTGGATATTTTTTTAATGGATGATAATGAAATGGCATCCCTGCCCGCACTAATTGGTATATATTGGCAGGACACCAGTGAGGGATGATTGGTGAGGATGAAAGGCGGGTCAGTTAGCCTATCATGATAATTTCAACGATAAATTAGTCACGATAGTTTACAGTGGGAACCGCATGGAGGTCGACCTAATAGGGTCTTCTATAATTTCTAATAAATTATTAGGAATGACTCTATGGTCATTTCCAAGTATTACTTATAAAATGCTAATCCTGTAACATGATGCTTTTTCTAACTATTGCATAAAACTTCTTAATTGATAATAATTACAATATATATATTCTAATTTGAGAGATAGGGTAATTTTTACCCCAATAAGAAAAAATGGAACCGGTAATGGCGGTAGGGCAGTAAAACAGAGTTTTCAGGTCGGCTAGTATGTACTTCCTCTTTATAAAAAGACATCTACGCCAATTTTTTTATAGTGTTTAGACTGCAGAGTACTCTAGTTTGAGGTTTTGTCACAAAATTATTTATATGATAAATAAAAATACCATACTCACTGGATGAGCTTGTCAGGCTATTCGAAACCTGTAATAAAAAGTAGGCAATTTTATGGATTTATATTTAAAAGTTACTTACATAAAGATAATAAATAGCTATTCTGTAGTCTCTGATTTGAGACCACCATTTATGTATAGCTAACTATAATTATAATAATATGTACTATGTTAAGCCATCCGTGTACCAAATCTCATTCAAATCTGTTTAGCCGTAAAGCGTGATTAAGTAATAAGCATCTAAACATATTAGAAATATCTTTAGAGGCTTTCACATATATAATCTTAATAATAAGTAGTTCAGTATTTTTGTATTCTTAGATAAATCCTTAACTAAATTAATGAAAAATTTAATTTGACTATAAATTACATTTGTTCCATATTTTATTTAATTAATTCAATTAAATTTGGCTTTAATTTAAACAAAAATTAGGCCGGTGGCTGGCGCTTTAAATAATGTGCAAATGTATACTTAGATATATTTTTGCTCATAGCTGATAGCTCCACTCTTGATCCTGGGGTAGGTACCAGACAATTCAAAGATGGGTACGACACCCCCCCCCCCCCCCCAAATACGCCTATATTATAAATTAGGTGTCTAAAATTTATTTATTTTTATTTAAGTAGTGCATGTAATTGGGCGGAATTATGTATACTATAAAATTATGATCAGTAGTGAATTAAATCTTACATGGTATCCTGAGCAAGTGGAAGTTAACGTGAACAGAATAAATGATAGTAAACACAGAGTAGCTGTTCTCATGTCTGCGACTTCAATGCCCACATTGACTCCCCATGACTGTGAACTTGCATTTTATATGTGGGCGTATGCTATGCTCGATTGTAGCGGAAAATCATCATTTGTAATCACAGTTGGTAAGTACATCTAATCAATGTAATATGCTAGGTAAGTACATAAAAGGTTTTTACTTAGTTGACTACAGTTCTGTATTATGCATCAACGTATTTTTTTATTTCATTATCTAAATAATAGGACATAATCGATAGAAAATATCAGGCACAATTATGTATATACCTATGTATTATACAATTAAGTATTAATTGTTATCTGTGATTAATACTTAACTAATGTATAAATAAGTAGATTAACTTATGAAATTTGGTACATACAGGTAACTCGTTATGATCGTGGAGTTGGTATCTAGGTACAGTTCCTACGATGCTCTGCTTATAGATAATAGCAGGAGGTCCTTGTGGAATTAGAACTACGAAATTAAGCGTTGCGTGACGTATATCTACCTACTGTTTCGTACTATTATGTAAATATATGTAAATTCTTTGATGCCAATTTTCTTTTTCTTCTTCATCATCATCGTCATTCCACCCCCCCCTTCCTATGGGCGCGGGTTCGATCCTCAAACGATAAATTGGACCACTGACCTTTTAGTCTGCTTATTTTCTTATTGACTACTTAGTTACTTATAGTTATGGAAAGTTTTGTAATTCCTGTGTTTATATAAACATAGACAAAGTATTATATTATCTGTGACATAGTATTTCAAAAGGAAAATAAATATCTCTATTGCGAAGTCACAGCAAATAGAATATTTTTTAGGTGTTATATCTAACCTGAGACATACTCATTCTAATTGATGCCAGGACTATGGTCGTCTAAGGTTGTCGAAGGACCCAAGTGGCGTGACGCATCGAAACAATAATAATGAATATCACTTTTCATCATTATGCAATTGGGGGTAGCGTTACTTAATATTTATAAGTACGTACTTAACATTTTTGTATACATACTTTGGGTCATAAGATTAGCCGTATGGTACCGGCATAGAATGGGCTACCCTTTCTTTTCCCGTGGGTGTCATAAGGGGCGACTAAGGAAAGTTAATATTCGAGGGCTGGGCAGCAGCGTCCCTCTTAAAACATCACAAAAGCTTTATTGTGGCGACTACTGGCAAAACTCCTCTTATGGTGGAGGCCTAAGTTTAGCATTGGACAGTTGACGGCTGATATAATAACTCACAGACTGGACAATATAGGTAGGCGAGTAACAAGAGAGTTCACCTCATGGAATGTGGCAACAGTTGTCTGTAGTGATAAACAACACTATAGCAAGCGTTACAATAAACAGATATATTGTGATGCCCATGACACACCATTAGGTGGCAGACTATTAAGTCTGCCATCTCCAAGAAAACAATTGTTGTGTCTCATGCATCAAGGATTCCATTCTGTCTCTGTGACGATCTAAACCTTTTTAAGTACCTACAGCTAATTACAATACTTATTACAACCATTATTATTTGGAGATAATTTAACAATTCATTTTGTATTATTACATGGAATTTACTGGACACCCATAACAGTGACCACGATGACTCGTTTTTCCCAGAATATCCACGCCTATCCGATTCACTGGTCAGTCTACTATCTTATTGTACTCGTGCTTTCATGCGAAACATGCAACTCAATTGGCAAGGTCGCGCATAGCTACAAAAACGCAATAAAATACGTACTTAATATTATAGTAACTTATATGACAGCTCTGTGATAAATTTAGGAACACATACCGAACAATTACATACACTCTCTTACTATTTTTACAGTAAATTTATTAAAAATAAAATAGGAGATGTGTTGTTGGGCTTTGGTTCGAAGAAGTCGAACAGTAGAGGCATAAGGGCATAACACAAGTTCTTGGGAGTGTAAACACATAATAGGTGCCATGCATGGTTCATGACATAACATAGGTATTTTTTTTAATGGGTGAAAATGAAATAGTGACTTCGCCTGCGCTATTGGTATACACTGGCAGGGCACCAGTGATGGATGATTGGTGAGGATGAAAGCAGGTCAGTTAGCCCATCGTGACAAGTCCACAAGAATTAACCACGATGGTATATTGCTAGAAAGGGGGTTGTTAGAACCTATTACTAACAATCCCTTCCCCCAACATAGGTATTGGGCTGCTCATAAAAAAATTAAAAATATGCTTACAGTTGTAAACTCACAAGTATTGTTATTGTAAGGTTGATTTGGTTTGTTAACAGTTTTTAAAAAAATGGAGAATTAGTAGGAAATTAAATTTACAGTTTTTGATGTCGGCCAGAATCAATTTATAATCATTACTAGGTCGTGGTACTCATGTCCAGTGCTGACCTTAGAGGAAAGGACAGGTAATAACCACCCGGGCATTGCAGAATGAGGGAGCCAATCAAAGAATTTATTTTCTGTTTTATCAAAGATATTTTTTTAAATTTCTTCAATTGTTATGTAGAATATAAATAAGAGTAGAGTAGAATAGAGAAAGTTTTACCTATTGAATAATAACTCTACAAAGTCACTGGGCTCTAATTCTTTTTTTTTATTAGTATTTATCATGCGGTAAGTCTTTACCAGTCTATGAGCAGAAATGTTGATACATGTCGCGTGTGGAGTTGATTCCCCTTTAAGAATCCATCTCTATAAAATTGTTTCACTGGCCCGTTTTTGCTAGCTTGTTGAAGTCTGGTATTTTGCCTCGTCTCTTCAAGCGTACCATACAGACCGGTAATAACAATTACATCTCAAGTTTATTCGGATGATTAATTCAGCTTAGTTTTATACTTTTTACAAATGTTTGAGATTTTTCCTTAAAAAAATTGATTTGGAGAATTCGGTGAACCTTTTGAATTACGAATAAATCAGGTTGCGTTGCGTATTTGCTATTGGATACATTTTTGAAAATAAAAGTAACTAGCCCATTGTTACATTTATAAAATCAAACATATACATATAATTTAATTATTTTGAAATGTTGTGAAAGAATTTCTTTGGGAAAACTCTATTATTATAATATCTGTGATCAAAATAACTGTCTACGATTCACGACTAAATTACTATTTGGTGGAGACACCTCGTTAGCAAAAAAGTTAACTGCGTTATATTAGGGTGGCAGGAACCCAATTCATTTGTGAAAATATCGCCTATAATTTATCTGTGAAATATTATAGGGCACTATAATTTCTTGCGACCAGAGCACCTCCTCGCGGTGACGGTGGTAACGGTAAAAAATTTAACTTTGAGGCCGACAAAAAAAAAATGGAAGGAAAAGACTCAATAAAATCTTTCTTTTGTACCTGCAAAGTGGGGCTCAAACCGTAGACTGTTACGCTAATATAAAACAACTACTATTTAAGGTGTGCAAGGCATCTGACACAGCCAATAAAACTTACATCAACAGGAACGGGAGACATATTTTTAAGATTTAATAGTGCTTTTTTTTATAACACAGGGGACAAACGAGCATGCGGCTCACCTGATGCTAAGTGACTACCGCCGCTCATGATCACCCATAACACCAACGGCATTGCAAGTGTGCTGCCGGTTCTGTTGAATGAAGTTCTGATGAAGAATCTTCACAGATATAAATGTCAATTGAGTCATCAATGTTGGATAGCCTATAAATATACGTTCACTTTGAATAAAATGAAACTATTTTTCCGTGACTGTACTCGTGAACCCCTAACCGTTAGTATGCAATTTATCAATGAGCGCACCATGGCCCACATCGGGATATGGTTCTTTAAATATTTTGGTACTTGAGACAAGTGTTGGCTATTTTTAGCGTGTAACCTCAAAAATTAGTATCATTATTATTGAGACTGAAAATAGTACAAATAATAGTTTAAAAATTCAAATAAGGCTGTCATACGAATTAATAAAATTTATAAAAAAGAGAAGGTAACAGGGCAAATGAAAAACTAAATACAAAAATTAGAGTTAATTATAATTATATAGTCTTAAGTGTAATAACAAATTATTTCTTTGACCCCCCAAAACCAGAGAACCCCATTATTTGAGCGAGCTCTGATTGTGCAGGTGAGTCATCAGTTTCATCATTGTCTTGAAGTTTGCGTTTCTTGTCACGGCGTCTCTCACGGCGCAGTTCTTTCAGCCTCGACTCCTCTTCCGCTGCCTCTCTAAGCCGGGTATCCAACTCATATTCATGTTTCTTTTCCTCCAATTTTCGTTTATTTAGTGCAAAACGAGCCTTTACCTGTAAACAGAACATTTATGTCTTTGAAATACTGTACTTTAAAATAATTTGTACATTATCTTAAAAAAAAAAATTATAAACTAGTTTTTGTGATTAACGGTGTGTAAATTACTTATAAAGGTTTCGTGAATTATCACTAAGTCCTATAAAATCTTTTTTAAATTGTTTGAATGTTTGTTAATCAATCATAAATAAGCAGCTTAATGAATATGAATTAAATTTGGTATAAAGATAAACAATATTTAAGAATAATACATAGAGTATTTATATACTACTTAATGCCACAGTGATAGGTTTACACATTTCATAGGAATTATAAATGAATAAATATTCACTTATATTTATTATATACTTATATCACAGTTTCCAGATAATTTACATTTATCAATACAGATGGATATAAGTAATATAAAAATAGAAAAAATCAGTCTGAAGTTAATTGATCAAAGTCATTATATATATATTTTTTTGATGGATGATAATGGAATGGTATCCCCGCCGTGCGCTAACGGTATACACTAGCTGGGCACCAGTGAGAGATGATTAGTGAGGATGAAAAGGCAGGTCAGTTAGCCCATAGTGACGAATTCAATGATAAATTAGTCAATGGTTTTCAGGGGGAACATTATATATTGATATGGCATACACTATGCAATCCTTGTCAAAGACCTAAACTGAACATTTTATATATTACTAGTGTGTTTTATTTTATTCTTTTAAATTAAGAATTTATTTCAAAAGGAACTAACACAAACATGTTTATTAAATGATTTTTATGAATTTTTATTCATATTACAAGGAAATGATAATATTATCATTTCAACTATTAAATGTTCACTGCTGAATATAAGCCCATAATTTGCAAATAAGAACATTGCAAATCTAGCATTAATAATTTGATGATATAAAAGAGCTTGTTAACAAGTCTACTTTCATAAGGATGTTATTATTATATTTTTAAAAGTGCTTCTGAACCACTTGTATTTACAGACTTGTAAAGCAATACTCCTAGCATAACCTCTACATAGTCTTCTATCTTAGAGCTTACTATGTACAGTTGATATAAAAGTATTATTTTTTAAGATTATGTTTTTTTTTAATGATGTCTGTGTTTATGCCATATAGTCCTGGTTTAGAATGGGTCACCACTACCTTTATTATGGGTGTCATAAGAGGCAATTAAGGTAACTTAATAGTTGAGGAATGGGTAGCATCATCCCTCTTAAATCATCACCAAAGTTTAACCAGCCCATTCGCCAAGCATGATGACTATTAGTAGAAACTCCAATAAAGGAGGCCTATGTTCAGCAGTGGACAGTTAACGGCTAATGTGATATACATAATGGGAAATTATGTATATGTGGCCCCAGAAAACTTCCACATGAAGTTGAATCAATTGTTGGAAACAAGAAATATAGTAAGTTCATAAAATTTGCCATTGTAAGAACTTATATATAGACAGTAAAAAAGTAGTTAAACCAGATAATTAATTACTTACTTGATCTAAGCTACTTCTCTCAATTTTCATAGACATGCCAAGATTCCTTTGATGTTTTTTGCCATTGATATGATCCAAGAAGTTAATAGAATCCTTAACCACACAGTCACACACATTGCAGTAGTAGCCCCCTGATTGAGATGTTGGTGTGTTTTTATTTATGACAACACTCTTTCCCAACTTCGAGTCTAGGTCTACCTTATAGTCTCGTTGTTTAAGGAGTTCTCGTTTAACAGGTGGGGCTGTAATGGTAAATGTAAATTTATACATACAGTAAACTTAATAAATACTACTAACTAATATTATATCATATAATATTTTTATTAACTAATAGGACTTAATTATAGTTATAAGATTTAGTTTCATGTAAGTCATATAAAATTATTAATAGTTAAGTATTATATGATGAGTTTTACTTAAACATTGGTAGATATCTTGGTCATACCCACTGACCAGCTTGTTTTATTGTCTGGAATGTTATTTTTAATTTACCATGTTCTTGTACTCGAAATGTTTGTCCTAAATATACATAATATAAACACTGAAATTGAAAACCAACAACAACATTTATCTGATGGAGAAAGATTATCATGATTTAAAATGTTGTTACCTTTCTTTTTAGATCGTTCTTCTTCTTCTAATTCTGCTTGCAATCTTTCAGCAGCAATTTTCTCGAATTCATCTTTATCCCACTTTCTGCGGTGATCATCGGGTCTCATACTCATGGTGGAGGATTAAATATGTACTTGGTTATTGATTTACTAATATTGAACGATAAAAGAATTCTTTTAAGAAGGAAAAATAAAAGAAAACACTATTAAGTAATTTCAATATAATATGATAAAAAATTAATAAGACACAAGCACAGCAATTTCGACATAGATATATGACAATGACAGTGACACAGGTTAGGATTGCCAGATGCCATTTTTAATTTTTACCCAACTGAAAAAACGCCTAATTTGACAAGATTTTGATTACATCGAGCGCTTTATTTTGTACCGTGCACAATTTTTTGTGAACTTCTATGTTATTATCATGCAGTTCTACGATATATCTTGCAAATGAACTTTTTTATACTTTACCGTGGACGTCTGCGATATCGTTGTGTCGACGCCATTTTTATTGTTATATATTTATTTAATTTACATGAATATTACTTAGTTTGATTAGGTAAAATCTTGAAATTTAAATTAAAACCAATTCATCTCAACATATTTTGTAGTAATTTTTCCCTTCCCTTGATAATAGGTCATATATGGAATACTGTTCTCACCTATGGACAGAAGCGCCTCAGTACCAATTTTTTCCGTTAGACCGCATTTAAAGTTGGGCGGCTCAAATTATTGACGATCAGCGACTTACTGTTCGACTCAACCCACTGAAACTGCGAAGAGATGTTGCATCTCTGTGCACCTTATACCGAATTTATCATGGGGAGTGCTCTGAGGAATTGTTCGGATTGATATCTGCTGGTGATTTTCACCACTGTACAACCTGTCATAAACTAATGTTTCATCTCAAACATCTGGATGAGTGGCGGTCTTTCACCGTGCGTTTTCCAAGGCACTTCTTTTCACGCACAACCACTTTTTGAAATCGACTTCCAGCAGCAGCATTTCCGAACCAATACGACATCATAATCTTCAAGAAAAGAACATATTTTTTAAAAGGCCAGCAGCACACCTGCAATGCCTTTGGTGTTGTGGGTGATCATGGGCGGCGGTGGTCACTTACCATCAAGTGAGCCGCATGCTCATTTGCCCCTAGTGTTGTAAAAAAAAGTATAAAATTATAATCTCAAGGATAGCGCAGACAGGCACATGCATATACATATAATACACATGTAGGAGAATCTATGAGGTATATCTATTAAAATACTTGGTAATATAATTGAAACTATTGCATCGTCTTATGTTTTTATTTTAAATAATTGTATAGATGACGGCTAGCTTCCTAATCCAATGAAATTTAGTAAAATTGTACCGCTTTTTAAAGAGGGGATTAAAAATGATCCGATAAACTCCCATTTCCATTCTTCCCGTGCTGAATAAAAATGTACGAAATATTTTACCCCAAATAACGAAAAATATCCAAACTGGCAATGCCGAAACAGCAGCACAGACTATATAATACTACAGTCTTAGTCAAAGTCACAATACAAGCAGAAACCTTTTAATATCCTATTAATTATGCTTTTTTTTGCCGATATTTATGAATCAAATAAATAAAATAATTTAAAATGTTAATTGAGCTATTTTTCAATTTATATCATATCGTACGGGTTTACTTAGTCCTCTGGAGAGGGCTCCAATACTGTTTATTTATTTTGACCCATATTTTTACTTTATATCGACAAGACCGCTATTGTGTTATAGTATAAACATACTTTATTTCTGATTTAGTTTTGTTTCATCCTCACCTATTAACTCTCATTGGTGCCCCGTCAGTGTAAACCGATAGCGCAGGTGGGATTACCATTCTATTTCATCCATGAAAAAACACAATGTTATGAGTGTGAGGGAAGGTATCATTAGTAATAGGTCTAATAGTTCTATTGCTAGCAATACTATCAAGTCAATCTCCAAGCGGTTTTCAGCGAAGTAGTAAGCTTCACTTACAGACATAAATAGCATCATGGACATTACAGAATATACGGGCACATATGCTATGCTATCGTACCCAGTAATTTCGTTGTCAAATTACCTTATTCTTTAAACGAACAACACTTCTAGTACAGTTATTTGATAATGCATAGAAACAAGAATTTCTTTATAATACTAAACAGCTTGTAAGTGTCACTTATTTGTAAAAGATATTCTACCTTGGGCGGGGATTTAATCTAAATTGACTCCTTTTCCTGCTACACTAAATATTCTATTTTCGATTACTCTAACTCTGGATTTGAAATAGCGATTTCATTAAAACAAAAAAAAAAAAAATCACACTACGTTGATTGAATACAAACATGGATTTGAGAAGTAGGGAAACCAATGAAATAGACCGTTCTTACATGGGACATCAAAATAAAACATGATTTTAAGTTAGACTTTTAGGAATAGAAGGGTGAAAACTGCGTTCAATTTGGTGCGTAAGACATACAGACAGAGATACTGCTACACAAAATTTCTAAAAACTATTATTATTTTGGTTTCGTTTACTCCTATTAAAATCCCTTACATCAATTTTCTTTTAAACATCTTTCATGTACCTACAGACCACTGTTCAGTTACAATTTCATTATATTAATAAAATAAGAATAAAATAAGGAGTAAGATAAGATAAACCACTTAACAATTTATTTTTCAATTACGAAGATTTATGTTAAATTTGTTAAGGGCAATGATTTTTTATTATAATATAATTCGTTATATTTTCTAACAATTTTGTTTATGGATGATAAAAAAATAAGCTAACGACTATAATTTCTAAAGGGGTAATATGGGTCCGATTTTGTTAAAAATGAATAAAGTGACCAAAGTTATGTGTATTTGTCGGAGGAAATATAACAGTCCTCATAGACAAGTATGGGTTAATGTGACGCGATTTAGGACAAGAAGCCTGACGAAGTGATGTCATGAGTCGAACGAGCCGCCGCCCGACTGTGACACATGGCTCGGCCATAACATTATTATGACGAGAAATTTCTTCATTTTGCCCTTTTTGCCGTTGGGATAGCTGTTATCTATCATGCCTTATGTAATCTAGTTGAGCTATACTTCTGGTTGTTATAAGGGTTGTTTTAAATGACATTATTTTTTGTCCCCTGCCCTTACATTCATTAGCTTGTACGAGTATTCTAGTCGTAACAGTCGTTTTTTTCTTATAGCACAGATTAATTATTAGTTATTATAGTTTTCTACAATTATAAATAGTAATACTGTAATTTTTTTTTATGGTGGACTCGAACCGACTCAAATACCAGAATTTATAATAAATAACAATAAAACATTCTGTATAACGACGTATGTCTTTAAAATATTTAACAATTATGTGTTAACTAAGTTCCATTTTCTTTAATGGGTGATAATGAAATGGTAATCCCGCCTGTGCTATCGGTATATGCTGGCAGGACACCAGTGAGGGATAATAGGTGAGGGTGAAAGTAGGCCAGTTAACCCGTTGTCACGAATTTTACTAAAAGTAGCCATGATGGTTTCCAGGGGGAACCGCGTGGAGGCCGACCTGATAGGGTATATTGATAGCAATAAGACAATTAGACTCGTTACAGACAATTCCTTTCTCCCCACTAGGTTCTATTTTTTTTATGGGTGAAAATGGTATAGTAACCCCGCCTGCGCTAACGGGATACGCTGGCGGAGCACCAGTGAAGGGTGATAGATGAGAATGAAAACAGGCCAGTTAGCTCATCATGATGAATTTATCAGAAAATAACCATAATAGTTTCCAGGAAAAATCGCGAGGAGGTCGACCTGGTTGGGTATTTTGTTAGCAATGGGATTCTCAGCCTCCATTACTAACAATCCCTTTCTCCCCACTAGGTTTCATTGGACACCGTCAATTTTATTTATTCTCTCATGGAATGAGAGTAAAAACAAAAAATCATTAGATAAATGTTAATTTAATTATTTTATTTACCTAGGTTAAATTAAGAATTAAGGACCTAGGGACTTATTATATAGCTTTGCTCAGGTTTTTTATCTTAGTAAATACGTAGGTAAGTATTACTTTTTGTGTTGTATGTTAATATAAGATATACTTTCCTATGATTACAGAAATGTTCAAGATTCTTTTCTTAATAAAGGTACTGCTACGTTTGCTTCTGCCAGTTACTTTCGATGTAAATTGCATGACTCTCCCGAGGCGAACAAAAGTTGACAGATGTCAGCGGACATTCACCGTACTTGTGATAGAGAGACTTCATGTGACTTCTTACAAACGAAATAATATGATTTTGTTGCTCGACATGAATTGTAAATAACATTTTCTAAAAAAAAAATCAAGTTACGTGTAATTTACTTTTTACCTATTATAGGTGATGGGGGTAATTTTTGGAGTTGATTTATTGGGAAAAAATATAGATCGTATTATTTACTAGATAGAGCCTTTGTTTATTTTAATTAATTATTAATTATCATCATTGATTAAATGCTTAATTTATAGAATTTATAGATATAACTATCATAAACTCAGAGATAGTGTTTATAAAGTTTAACAAATATCCCCATCATAGAACTGTGTTCTATCTGAAGAGAATTTAAGAATTTTCAGAAGCGAGGATGCATGTATCAGATGAGTTATACTAGATGCAGGCCGTTGGCGAGCGGTTCTTTCTGTCACCCCGTAAGGAACTTGGTATAATAGATAAAAACATACCTAATTACATAAACCTTGAATTAATTATCGAGTCGGGTTTTAATTTTGAATTAACTACAATGTTAAATTCATAATTGAATTTATTTACTTATTTTATTTAACTAATTAAAATATAACATGTTTCTCTGTGTGTTGAAGTAATGACAGTATTATGTAAAAGCTTAACAATAAAGATAGGATCCTTGAAATCATGACCTTCGTGCAAATGACGGGCGTACTTACTACTAGACCGATCCCACTTTAGTGTCCTGTGTGTAATACGAGGAAGGCACTTTGCTTGCGAGATTTTATGACAGTTGATGTAATAAATACTACTATTGTCGTAGTGGATGGAAGATATTTGTAGTAGAATTAAAGCAAGTCAGTTGTCTAACGCCATAGTTTCCTAAATACCTAATCTTTAAAATAGCTCGTTGTGCTCGTTCTAGCTTTATAATTTATGTGTTATTCTCTTTGTTAGGCATCATAACATCTAAAATAAAATAATGTATTATAGAATAGGTAGGTTCTTGAGCAGCAGATCTAAGAATTCCCAAACAAGTTCATATATTATGTTTAATT